TTTCACTTTCAGTCCGGGGGGCAGATTCGGTCAGCTCTTTTAAAGTAAAACTTAAAACTTTCCTCTTTGATTCTGCCTATAGTTAGGGCTGGCTCAGGTTAGCCCAGACCAGCCCTTAGTTAAGCTGCTATAGGCTTAGACTGCCGGGGGAATTCTTAGGACACACCGAGCTCCTCTCTCACGCTCTCGTTCTAACATAATTCACATTTTATTAATTTTATTTATTAATGCACATGACTAATGCAGCTTCTTTCCGGGAGTTTTTTGTGCTTTCTCCCCTGGCAGGTCTCCGTAGATCGTAGTTCCTTCTGGACCCTGGTCCTGACACCTACCGTGGCCATGCTGACGCCTGCTGCTGCCATCATCATCATTATTATTTTAGATATTAATCATATTACTGTACTCGTAAACCCAACATTACCCTCTCCTTAAGTCTCTGTGCTCTCCCTCCCCACAGGCTTCTGTGGATGGTGGTTCTATGTGATGGTGGTTCTATGTGATGGTGGTTCTATATGATGGTGGTTGCCCCTGCAGTGGTCCTGCTGTGCGCCTGGCTTACTACTCACAATTACTTGAATCATTTCTGTCATAGGAATTGCATGTATTATACATTCCGTACACATGGCATCCATTGTAGTCTGTCCATCCCGGGAGTGGGATCCCTCCTCTGACGTGTTCCCTAAGGTTTCTTTCCTTTTTTCCCTCTTGGAAGGGTTTTTTTCATTTTTTGGGGAGTTTTTCCTGTGCCGATGGAGGGTTTCGGGACAGAGGATGTTGTATGTGTACAGACTGTAAAGTCCTCTGAGGCAAATTTGTAATTTGCGATTTTGGCCTATACAAAATAAAATGAATTGAATTGAATTGAACTTGCACTATTAGCATATTACAGTAATACAATGATATCATGTCTCTTCCGACAGAAAACGCCATTTAATTCGGGACCAGTAGAATATCTTCATTCAATTCAAAGATACTGCTTTTCCTAAATCTTGCTCTACTGTGCCATATGGCCAATCACAACATGCACTTCTAGGACAGATGGCCAATGGTGATGAACTTTACTCAGAGCGGGGATAAGCCTCAGAATACAACTGGAAGATTAGTCTGCTTCTAATCAATTAGGACCCCGGAGCAGGAAAAACGTGAAGAGGATGTTGGAGGAAATGTGGGGAAATTAAGTAACTTTTTTCAGTTTCGGATGTTAATGACGAATCCAACCTGCGTGTACAAAAGCTTCTTCCTATTCAAAATGCACTCTGTAAAGATGGACTATTGTTCTGCAATCTCAAACATTCCAAGCAAATAGGCCCATTACCATATTCAGGATATACAAATACAACCATTTGATTCCTGATGAAATGTTAAAACAAAAACGCAGTGCACACGCTCTCATGTCAGTAAATTGAGTGAATGTTGGCCATGTTCGACCCACAAAGCGGTGACAAGCTTTACTCCATCAGCAAAAAGAAATCTTCTTAGCTTGGCCTGATCTGTGGCAGCCGGCCTGGAGAGGATGAGTTCCACGGAGGTTAATTTCTTTTTCTATGCTAGATTCATTTTTAACAATGACGGTAGTAATGAGTTAAGGGCGATGATGAGGGTTACATTTAATTTTTAGTTTCTGGATACAAACAAATGATTGTCGTCACTGAAGCCACATGGACAGCATTGAGGACTGTTTACAGCCTTCGAGGAGGCGTTTCACTGCAGGTCGGTTCTGGTCTAATAATCAATTTCAGTATATATAATATATAATATATATATATATATCAATATATGAAGGACAAAATGTAGGTCAGTAGTACAGTTATCTCCAAAAAGTGCTTCTCTTGACAAATAGTAATATGGTGGAAGATTTTGAAATTTCATTTTTTTTTTACCAGTTCAGCGGTTTGATTACCTTTCATTCCTAAAATGCACTGGACGTGAGCGCTTAAGCAAAAATGACGTTGTGCGTGCGTCTGGCTGAAAACATGCTCTTTGCCTTGAGGTTTTTCGCCCCTCCCTTTTAACCACTTTTTAATTTAGTCACGTCTACAAAGCTGGTCTTCAAGGCCTAAGCACTTTGGAAATGGGCTTTAGAGACGTAATTAAAAGGCCTGAGTGGGTGAGTCTGATCAAGACTGTTCGGAACATTAGAGAGTAAAAGAGATTGATAAAAGGACAGAGAGAGGAGCAAAGTGAGAAAATGTGTCATGCGACTAGACTTGCACGGACTATCAGCTGCATCATGGATTGATGTCATTGTGCTTCACTGAATCATTTTCCAAACCGGGAATGCATTAAATTGCAACGAAACAACTATTACCATGATCCAGTTATTGTTATTGAAAATGGATTTTAAAAGGTTGATGATGAAACTAACATTGTTGTATTTTATCCATTTTTAAATGAAGTTTGGTTTTATGTAACAGGTGATCAGACTTTGCAACACAGTTTTAATTAAACAGCACCCAACTGCAGACCTGATTAATTCCAACACACGATGAAGTCTAGTGAGAGAGTGTGTGTGTGTGTGTGTGTGTGTGTGTGTGTGTGTGTGTGTGTGTGTGTGTGTGTGTGTGTGTTGGTAAATGTATAAGAGAGGGAACAGGATATGGAAAAAGATTTGGAATTCATAGATGGATTTCCTATGCATTTTAATCATAGTACAGTAAATGCTTCGGGTTGCACTTCTCAATGTGTTTGGATAAGTGATCTAGTTTAGCTTTAGACTCAGTTAGGCTACGTGCGAGACAATTTTATTCAAGCATTTCATTTTATTTTATTTTATTACTTGTGCACTGCTGTCTTGTTGTCTATTGTTACACTGTCTACTGTCACGCACCAACCGCCAAGTCAAATTCCTTGTATGTATGACATATTTTGGCAATAAATGTTTCTTGATTCCTGATTAATAATAAATCAAACGCAATAGTTTTTTTAAAAACACTCCCGAGCTATACTGCCATAGACTGACGTAAACGTGTAAGACACAATAAAACAATACAATGCACAAAAATATTTTCTATATAAATCAATGTTTCTGAATCTTTTTTTTGAAGATGGCGTCCCATTTTCCCCAGCGGCGCATTAAGCGGTTTCTTCCTCCGCTAAGTGGCGCTAAAGACTCGGTCCGCCATTTGCATCACGCGACCTCAACATACCGCCTTGGTAACCCCTCGTTTCTCTTTCGGCCACTTCACCGGCAAGACCCCGGTCACCCCAGCAACGCACGCGTGCAACACGCGGGGTTTCCATGTCCGAGGCGCGGCGCGCGCTGCCGTCGTGGATGGCGAAGAAGGGCGCGAGAGCGAAGGAGGAGGAGCCGCTGAAGAGCGCGAGGAAGCGGAAAACTGCCCGGTAGACGACGCAGAACACGAACCGAACCAGGTCTCCGTCTTTGCTGCGCGGTGTGTGTTTCGACTAAACGCGGCGGTGTGTTTTTCAGGGCTGCTTTCTACTGCATGAACGAGAAGGAGCTGGTGGAGGCGGCGCACTCGCGTCTCACCGACGCCGCCCGCGAGGACGTCGCTCTCCCCGCTGACCGCAAGGTGGCGCTTTTTCCCTCTCTTCCAACATTTGGAGGCGCAAATTAAGTGAACGCGTGCCGATATTGTTAAATCTTTAAAAAAAAGTATTTGTATCGCATTATATATAAATGTTTTGATTTTTCCAATTTTGTGCCAAACACATTTGTCTGCCTGCACAAAGACCTGTCTGAACAAATACAAAGAAAATGTATTATTATCCTGCACAATTTTGCATTTTATATGAAATGAAATATATTCACCCCCATCTCACACACACACACACACACACACAGGTTGAAGACAAGGCAGCAGTCACCACTGTGAACACGGGCGAGGACCGGGCCACTGCAGAGAAGACGGCAGAGCTTTTGACTTTAGCGGAGCAGTCTTCAGACGGCGGTGATGCCCTGGATACAACGTGTTTCAGAAACAGACGTGGAGATCAGCCCGCGGCATCTGGGACCTGAGGGTCAGAGGGCAGGACCTGCACGGGATCGTGGCGGTCTGGTGAATATCGGACTGGAGGCTGAGGGAAAAGAGAAGGATGACGCCTTGCGGCTTGTGAGGGAAATATTTTTCACCCGATGATGAACTCCAGCATACGGCATCTAGAACCACATTTTGGTGCGGCATTGCACATCTTAGTCTGGGGTTCAGTGTTAAAGGAGCTGCTGTGTATTTCATACAGCTGACATGAGTGAATGGAACTCCCATTAACACAAATAACGTGGTATTTTGTGAACAGAAATGTTTTGCTGAAAGCTTTGACCAGAAAGCCGGAACATGAGTGACATAGATGTGTGGTAGTACTTTTTAAATTATAATGTGAAACCTAAAGCAAGTGTGTTTTAGGTAAAGATATCTTTCCACCACAAGTTTTTTCAGCTTTGATGAATTATGAAGTGGCCGTGGCTGCACTGTCCTTTATTTTCATTATCTTAAGCAACTTTGTACAAACGTTGAAAACTGGAAAGCCTTAAATACCTTAGCCCGTGTTCTGGACTCTGGACGAGATGAGCTTCTCCGGATAACAAAGTGTTCATTGTCAAGAGACGCTCACTGCAACTTTGTCTTCTTCAAACAGTGTGCACGGTTACCGTTGAGTAACCCTCACCCCGCCTATGGTCGTCCAAGATTAAACTCTAATTGTCTAAAAGCTAAATATCAGGAAAACTCCAAAAGCCGGTTTGAGCTATGCGAGGTGCTTTAGAGTCGTGAACAAAATCATTTGTTAAGGAAGTATTTCATCCCAAGTTGTCGACATTAAAGATTTGTTGTATTGTGTTCTACCACCATTGCATTAAAGCAAACCATATTACTACTTACATTTTTTTTTATTTTTGCGAGATATTTTAGCACGGAATTACAGCAGGACACAAAAGCAGCGCAGTATGCTCCAGTCTATTGCACCAAAGAAGGGTTTATCATGAAATATATTATTGCTTTTCAGCAGCATATGCCTCAAGGAATACAATAAAAGAACCAAAAAAACATAAAGTACTTTTATTCTAATGGTGAAGAGCATCAACTAAACTATACCGTAGTCAAGCACTTTGGCTTCATTCAACATGGCCAGAAGGGCAAAGGCCACGAGCACCACGGGGATGTACAAACACAGGAGAACCGCGGTTGCCAGGAGGTTCGTTTTCATCTCCGCCGATGGGTTCCCTGGACGAGCAGGATGGCTCGCCATGTTGACGCGTAGAACAAAATTGGAAAGGGACTGATGAGGACCTCTTTGGAGACGATGAACACACCAGCAAAGAGAACCAGGGAGGTCAACATCTTAGTGAGGATGAGCAGGAGACACACGGAAATCCAAAAAGAGAGCCCTGCAGGCCTCCTCAAAGACAGAGACATGGCCGAAGCCGTCTTAAGCCAGATGTATTCAACACTTTACACTTGGAAAAGCAATCTCTAAGAGTGCAGCTTGTATATTCAGAACAACAACAAAAAAAAGATGAATTAATCCATTATGGTCTTGGTTTGGAATGGGCCGGTGGTCAACTTCTCAGCATGCAGGGTTTAATGTTCGACCTGCGGTTGAGTCAGCTGATCGGCTTCCTCATTGCATTTACATGAAGTGGACTTTGGACAATCTGTTGAAAAAAGCTGTGATCAAAATGAAACATGACATGTTGAAACATATCATATCACATGGCGGGGAATCACTCTCAAACATGACCTGAGGTGTTTACCAAGAATAAACACATAATACAAATAAATGATGACTAATAGGCAAATAGGTCGTTTACTGTGTTGTTTAGGCTACTTACGTATCTGTGGAGTCCTGCGGTGGGTGTCGGGTACGCCCATATAACGTGAACGCGCGCGGCATCGTGTGTGCAGGAGTCTACTCGGGACGTGCGGTCTTCTCCCGAGTCTGTGTGTGCGAGCTCATCTGAGACCTCATCCCCCGTTTACTGCGAGACGACGCGGCTCATACGGTTGGTTATCGTTTATAACTATCTGTTAATACCGCAGGGCTTCTATTTTTTTTTTTACTTCTGCTTATTTGGGGTCGATTGTTATTAGTCTGTTCAGCGCGAGGGAGGCGGGGTAGTTCGCAGGGGATTCTTCTTGTGCGTTTCATCTTTGACAAACAATTAAAGTGGCACAGGGACGTTGTTTGTGTTGGTGACTTTCTGACGTGGACATTGGTCATATGGTGGGTATTAATTATTGAGAGCTTGCGCTAATGAGGATCCGTGGTTCTGATGGGAAGCACAACTGGATCAAGGTGTGGTTGTTAAAAAATGGAAATCGTGAACTATAATTTGCATGACATTGGTTGACACTGCTGGGTGATGATCGTTTGCGCGTTTAAACGTCCGGATCGAGTCTGTCCACTCGAGCGCGCGGGAGGGGGGACATGTAGTGCAAAGAAGTCAAGAAATAAATAAGTCCTCGTCGGGTGCCAGCGCAAACATCCCCCGTGGACTGCACGCTCATTGCCGACACTTTATAGGACACGTTGCACATGCGGCCCGGGAAAGGTGAAAGAGAACACAATGTCCTACAAAGCACGCACAAGGGTGTAGTGTATCCTGACCACTAAACGCTTTGATCAACTATTCAAGGAATTGGAAGAAAAAGTTCCACATGTTTTTACAATACAATGCCAGCAAAATTAATGTTTATCTTAATTTTAAGCCAAATAAAAGTTTGACTCTACTTTGTGCAACCACTTTTAGCATTTGCATTTGAAATTTCATTGCTTCCATCCAGTCAATTTTTTTTTTTTTTTGTCTGTTCAGATTCATTATGGGAAACCGGTTTGGAAAAGAGCGAGAAACTAACAATGCTGAGACTGCTGAAGAAGCAAAGACTGCAGAGGAGTCAGAAGCTGGACAACCAGCGGAGGACTCTGGGATAACTCAAACTCAAACGCAGGATCTAGATGTCCAGATTCTGGGGCAGGTGGCGCAGGTGGCGTGTTCCATCACTGAAAAATTGGTGTTTAACAGTGGAGTGGAGGAGGATGCTGAGCCCGTGGCGAAGGAAACACCAGCTCCAGTCCAATCCGAGCCTCTGGTCTCACTTGGCAAATCATCAGCTCCAGATTCAGAACCAGATTCAGAACCAGATTCAGAACCTGTTGCTGAAGCTCTGCTGGCTCCAGATCCAGTTGCCGAACCACTGCCTGAACCAGAGCCAGTCTCCAAAACGGTTCCAGTTCCTGAACCAGAGGCAGAAGTTGAGGTAGTCTCTGAACCCATTTCAGAGTTGGTGCCGGCGGCAGCTGAGGCCGCAGAGCTGAAGACGGACCTCCTCAGCCAAGAGTCTCTCCCCGAGCCACAGATTTCTTCTCCAGCACCTTTGATCAACCCATGCGCCCCCGAAGAAGATGCCCGACCCGTTGACATTCCTCCTGCCCCAGCTCCAGTCAAAGCGAAGGAGCCGGCAGACAACCCGGCGACCGAGGGATTCCAGAACAGCGCTGAGGTCTCGGTCATTCCCACGTTCGAGCCTGAAAACGGCAAGGAGGCGTCCGAGTCAGGGGAAAAGGAGACGGAGGCGAAGGGTGGAGTGCATTTGGAGCAGCTTGTGTGTGACGTCAGCGACGAGAGTCTCAGTGGACTGCTGAAGAACTTGGAGCTGAAAGGAAACAACCTTGTCGCTGACCTCATTCTGGCCGACATCCAGATTCCCGACGACGTGAGCACTTCCACCGAGCTGATGTGAAGGTGCGGCAGTGAAAGGATGTTATATCTGTGAAGCCCTCGTAACCCCTAACGTGAATTCCAAAAGAAGCTGGGATGCAATGTTTCTTTCTCTCTCACCTAAGTGGCCTAACAAAGGCAAAAATGTCTCTATCTAAATGAACGTGTGCCAAAAAAAGGTGTATTGTCTGGGCTTTATTATGAGTGTACTTGTGCGTATTGCTGGACAACAGAGATCTTCCTCTATGCAAATGCACCAGGCAAGAATTTTAAACTAATTTTACTGAAAAGAAGAAGAAAAGAAGCCATTGCTATACGATAACGAGGCATAGAGAAAGCTGGGAATCATTTTGATGTTCCTAAGTACAAAGGAAAAAGCAGAAGTGTCCTGAGGTATGTCAGTCAGCATCGGCGGGTAAATCCAAATCCATAGGCAAGGGACAGTAGCAATGAAAAAGACATTATACTGTATGCTATTGAAATACGAGTGTCTAGTGAACTATTGCGCTTTCACATAATCATCTTTGAGCTTTTTGAAATTCTGTGTCTTTCTTGTATTCTAATTTAACAATGGGAATTTTCTTTTTTTTAACCTAAGTAGTGGCTTGCTTGTAAAAATAAAAATATTATTATACATATGTTATGTCCATCGTCACTTGATTTAACTTTTTAAATAAGGAACCTGTCTTAAAGATTACGGGGAACCAGTAAAATTAAAGGCGTGTTGGTATTTAACATTCCATAGCTGCCAGGCCACTAAAGCATTTCCAATAAAGAGCGGATGGATCTGCTAAACGCACACGCTGTAACAATTGCTTTGTAACACGGCACACGGGGCACGGCATACATTTTGGAAATCAAATTCCATCCCTGCACAGATTAGAACACGTTCTGGAGATGGTGCTTCCTCGGTCTCGTGAGAGGACGAGAGGAGGCGGGGTCAGAGGGGTGCAGAGCCACATTCTTTCCAGAGGAAGGAGTTTTTTTCGGGTGGCTGGGGGTCAAAGGTCTTCAGTGTGACTGTTTCAGTCCATGAGAAATCTGCTCCTCGCATGCCTTTCCCCTCCCCTCCCGTCCCTCCGTCCCCTCTCCCCCACTCTGCCCTCACGGCGTATGATTCCAACTGCTGGAGCGAGCAGTCAGTGGATTGGTATGAGAGCTCACTTCAGCCTCAAAAAGAAACTTGATTATTTACTTTGGCAATTTGACCAAATGAAGGAAAGACTTCAAGATGCACTACATGGAGCTGCTCCGTTTAAAAAGGACACAAGAGACCATCCTTGCGCATCAATGCTCCAATTCAGTTTTGTAATATGTTTTTGTCCCAACCACACCTCCCTTTTACAGCCTACGCCTCGGGGCATGGCATGTGGGTAAGTCCCATAGTTTTAGCAACACATGTCCCCATGGGAGAGGGAGAGGCACTCCTCAGACGGTGATCTCAGTCAAGCCAGCCTGCAGCAGGACAGTTTGTGGATGACCCGGTTTGCTGATTCAGATTGAGAACAGACACACGATCTGCACTGTTCGGGATTCCTGTCCTACCGGAGGCTTTCATCTCAGAAAAACAAGGGAGTCCTGAGTCCTCCTTGTTGATGCCTTGCTTCATTACGGCCTTCAATGGCAAGAGCATTAGACAAAGTAAACAGAACTCTGTCTTGGCTTCCCTAACAACGGATGTCAAAGAAGTAACACAGTGAAGTGGAGCAACGATTGCTTCATGTTCTTTTCATGCCACAACTCATCAACACATTTGATGATGCAATCAAAGCCAGCTGACTTACATGTGGCAACAAAGTGGTGCTGATTCATCAATAAGTAATAGCACAACAAAACGGTAATATAGCCTTTCCCCAAAGGTGATTCATCAAATTCACTCAAGGCATATAAAAATTCATCCCATAAATAAAACGACAAACAAACAAAACAGTTTCAACAGAGAGATGTAAAAATCTTAAAAACAAATACTTTAAAATATAATAAACAATTAAAAATATGTGTCAAAGAACTGACAAGAATAAAATATATAATACAAACAGTGCAAAGTACCAAGTACTCTAAGTACTGTACTGTAAGACAAATCTTAATACATCGTGAGAATGCGCTATATTAATATATAGATATATATAGAAGGATATATAAGTAAACGCTCTTTGGCATCAATTTGCAATAAATACAGTGTGAAGAGAGCCATTCGTTGGGTTTCCCACAACCTCCGAACAGCCAGACTCCTAGACGTTACCTCTCTGAAGGCAAAGAAACAAGGCATTTGAATGCAATGTGTCATTTATGATGGAAAATATCTAATGTCTGTTACCATTAGCCTGCTGTATTTTTTGGCCAGGTCAACGTTGGTGCGTTGGAAGGGGTACGGCCACAAAATGGAGTTCCAGGAGAAACCGAAACGCTTCACACCTCTCTGCAGGTAACGCACCTACTAATAGCATACTAATGTACATTGTTTTACTAATGTCTGGCGTTAAGGATTGTTAAGTACCTGAAGTCGGCCTTCTTCTGTCTCTGGTGGGTTATAAGGATGCAGGGAGAAGCCAGCTTGGATTATACATCTGCACGTGTGGCTTATGGGACAAATCCTGTGCACACTTTACATCATTCAGTGCAATAGCTGTGCCTCACGTGTGAACTATTAAGTGAGCTGCTTTTGTTAATGACTTGAAATCTGATGTTTTGTCATATGCATTCATGTCAAATTATAATAATTGCATCGTTGTGTGCTTTGGAAAGTCCTCTTGCTGATGTGTTGCAAGTCGGAATTCTTAAAGACATTCTTAAATTACACTGCAAATTTTATTCTATTTCAAATCTTTTGATGTCTTTTTTTATCCTTTTAATGACTGTTTTTCTTTTATGTTTTAATGTATCAATGTTGTTAGCTGTTTATAAATCTCCTTGCTTTATGTTTGGATGTTTTTAATGGTTTTATGTGAAGCACTTTGAATTGCCTTGTTGTTGAAATGTGCTATACAAATAAAATTGCCTTGCAATAAGACACTTTTGTTGCGCAAACTCTCACATTGGAACCGTGATCTGGGCTTGTCCTCGGCTCATCATCCATAGTGTGACGTCCACTTTTATTGCCTACTCTTCTCTCTTAATTGAAAAGATAAAACAAACTGAATATGTGTAAAAAAAAAGATTGGGATGTCAAATATAAAGATAGACAACGTCTTCACTCTTGCATTCTGGGTGAGCTCTGACACAGTTAGTTAAATGTATTTGGCTGAGTGGCGTAAAGATACAGTAAATCTTGTGCAACAAAAAAATATTCAGAAAGCTGGAGTAGAAAAAGGGGAATGATGTCATAGAAAGCTACAAAAAACCTGAACATATTTTGATGTACAGTATAATGAGTGTAATGCAAGTACAGAGCATGCAATGATGTGCTCATAATGTGGAACGGACTGAAATGTCTTTCATCACCACTGGCCAATACAAAAGCATGTGTCTCTCGCTCTCACACACACACACACACACACACACACACACACACACACACACACACACACACACACACACACACACACACACACACACACACAGCAGCTCAATACAGTCGTGCGGCTCTGAACCAGCTTTGGCCTGCACAGTGAGAACACTGGCTGCAGTTCAACATTCCTTCTGCTCTTTGGTTTGTCTCTTGCCAAGAGCACACTGCAGGGAGACAGCTCCCACTAAAGGCTCGCAACCATAACTTTCACACGCACCTAAAATGTGTATCTCATGGCACATATCTATCTACCTTCCGGAAGATGGGACCTTTTCAGAGGAATCAAGCCCGGCCCTAAGAGGCGCAACAAGATCAACGCTGTTGAATATGGCGACAACAATAAATTAAATGTTGTTATTATTACGTCACATACGTACCTGTCCTGTAAGTGGTCCATGTCTCCTTTGTAGCTCCTTTATGCAGTGGAGTCAAACGGCTGTCTGTGATGGAAGGATAAGACAACCAAACACACGCGAAGATTATTGGTTGTCTAATCATGTTGATTTGTTATATGTAGACAGGCTCACTCCCTGCAGTCTTTAAAGACATTGATGTGTGACAGAAACAATACAATCCACTAGCTTCATAATTCTTACCGTTGTGCTTCTTCCAGGGAGGGGAGCTCCGGCCTTTTCCTGCTCCCTTACGTACAAGAGTCGGGCGCACCTCTTTTACAGTGGAATAGAGATCAGGCATTTTATTGCATAGGTGATTTATGCAGAGAATAAGAAAGTAATAAATACGAAGTAGTAGACAAATGAAAGACAATAAAAAACACTTTGGAACAACAGCAAAAGGCACGAGGCGTCTAGTTCTCTGACAGGTTATTTTGTATTCAATCAGCTCCAGAAAAGACCCAGTGTTTTCATTGGTACGGTTTTTACATCAATCCTGACTGAGTAATGCTCGATGACGAAGGACATGTTACTCGTCAATATATTTTATAGCTGTCTGTCATGAAAGCAGGTATTGAGCACCCATAACTCAGTGCACATATGATGTAGCGCTGATGGGTTAGTCTGAAACGTTGCCTCTGCCCCAGGCTTCAAAGTGTGTATGAGGAGCCTTAAACAAAACAAAACTCAGATCTTGCACTCACACCTTGCAATTAGAAAGTTACACAGTCCAGTTAATTATCATTTATCATTATCAATTATCAAAACACAGCGCCTAATGAAATGAAAGTCGCAGCCCTATTGTGATCAGTACAAACACACAGAACATCGAACCCGCCCATCTCTTTGTCCGCTTGTCCCGTTCAGGGCCGATCCCAGGCGACATTGGGTGAAAGGCAAGGAACACGCTGCACACGTTGGCTAAACACATCAAGGATGGCATTGAGCTTTAACTTTGAGGATGAATTGTGTTTAACTTTTAAACACGGTGCTTATTTGCCACCACCTTGTGAACTTGTCCTTACGACACCCTCCAAACCGAAGGCCACTGCAAAGCGGGTGAGTCGCTGTCCGGGAGGATGGATTTTCTTACCGCTCCCGTTTTCCCAGCTCCTCCGTGGCTGTGCAGCTGAAACTCTCTCGTATTCTTGGTTTGCCGGCTCATCGTCGTCATGGTACTCTCTCCTAAGCAGCTGTTGCAGTGACGGGTCCTGAACCGCTCTGTGGCCTCTCGGAGTACCTGGTGTATGTCACAGCTGTGCTGGCAGGAGCTTTGCAACGATGCAAAAGTGTGACTGGTCACTTCCTCAAAAGGCAGCACGCAAACTAGGACAAGAAGGAGAGTTACATTACATTACATTACATGTCATTTAGCGGACGCTTTTATCCAAAGCGACGTACAATAAGTGCATTCAACCATAGGGTACAAACTCAGGAGAACAAGAAACAAGAAAGTGCAATTTCTTCAAATAAGCCAATTTACAATTTGCTGTAGATGAGTGACGTTACAAGTACAATTTAAGTGCTACAATTTGTTAGTCTTTGGTCGAGGTAGAGTCTGAAGAGGTGTGTCTTTAGTTTGCGGCGGAAGATGTGAAGGCTCTCTGCGGTCCTGATGTCTTCAGAGAGCTCGTTCCACCATTTCGGCGCAAGGACAGCAAAGAGTCGAGATCTAGTCGAGTGTTTTGCTCTCAGTGAGGGAGGGACGAGTAGTTTTGCAGATGCAGAGCGGAGAGTGCGGGTTGGGATGTAGGGTTTGACCATGTCCTGGATGTAAGCTGGATCCGATCCATTCACAGCATGGTACGTGAGCACCAATGTTTTGAACTGGATGCGGGCGGCCACCGGTAGCCAGTGAAGAGAGCGGAGGAGTGGAGTAGTGTGGGAGAATTTCGGAAGGTTGAAGACCAGTCGAGCTGCTGCATTCTGAATGAGCTGCAGAGGTCGAATGGCGGTGGCAGGGAGACCAGCCAGGAGAGAGTTGCAGTAGTCCAGGCGGGAGATGACAAGAGCCTGAATCAGTACCTGCGCTGCCTTCTGAGTGAGTGAGAAGGGGACGTATTCTCCTGATGTAGAGCGTGTATCTACAGGATCGCGTTGTTGCGGTGATGTTGGGAGTCAGGGAGAGTTGGCTGTCGAGTGTGACGCCGAGGTTCTTAGCGGTCAAAGTGGGCGTTAGTACGGAGTTCTTGCTTCCTGGGTAAGCAAATCTTTTCCGGGAAAGAGAAGTAGTTCAGTCTTGTCGGGGTTGATTTTCAGATGGTGGGCGGACATCCACTGAGAGATGTCAGTTAGACAGGCAGAGATCCGAGCCGCCACCTGGGTGTCCGAGTGAGGGAAGGAGAGAATTAGTTGGGTGTCATCGGCATAGCTGTGGTAAGAGAAGTCATGCGAGCGAATGACAGCGCCAAGAGAGTTGGTGTAAAGCGAAAACGGGAGGGGACCCAGCACGGAACCCTGAGGAACTCCAGTAGTAAGAGGACAAGGTTCCGACACAGATCCTTGCCAGGGTACCCGGTAGGTGCGGCCGTCGAGGTAGGACGAGAGAAGGGAGAGAGCAAAGCCTGTGACACCAAGTTCCTGAAGGGAGGAAATAAGGATCTGGTGGTTGACCGTGTCAAATGCAGCAGAGAGGTCCAGAAGGATGAGGACAGAGGAGAGAGAGGCGGCTCTAGCAGTGTGGAGTTGCTCTGAGACAGCAAGGAGAGCAGTCTCTGTGGAGTGGCCTGCCTTGAAACCTGACTGGTGGGGGTCAAGGAGGTTGTTACAGTGGAGATAAGAGGAGAGTTGATTAAAGATAGCACGTTCAAGGGTTTTGGACAAAAAGGGAAGAAGAGAGACCGGTCTGTAGTTGTTTTCTTCAGAAGGGTTGAGGGTAGGTTTCTTCAGGAGGGGGTTGACTCTTGCCTCCTTCAGAGAATTGGGAAAACAGCCAGATAACAGAGCGTTGTTGATGAGACAGGTGAGGAACGGAAGAAGGTCAGGTGCGATAGATTGTAGAAGATGTGATGGAATGGGGTCAAGAGGGCACGTGGTCGGACGGGCAGAGGTTACTAGGGTAAGTATTTGGTTAGGAGAGAGGGCGGTGAAAGAGGAAAGTGAGGGCGAAAGAGGTGAGGTCGGTGCGACGCGAGAAGTAAGAGGTGGGTTTGAGAAGGAGGAGCGTATGTCAGCTATTTTCTTGGTGAAGTAGTTGACAAAGTCTCCCGGAAGAAGGGTGGAGGGGGGAGGAGGGGGAGGGGGTTCGAGGAGATTGGAGAAGATCGAGAAGAATTTTTTGGAGTTAGAAAATGAAGATTCGATTTTGGATTGGTAGAAAGAGCTTTTGGCAGCAGAGATAGAAGCAGAAAACGAGGAGAGGAGAGATTGAAATTCAAGCAGGTCGTCAGGTCGTTTATATTTACGCCATCTCCTTTCCGACGCTCGCATGATGGCTCTCATGGCACGGACCGGTTGAGACAGCCACGGAGCCGGAGGGGATTTGCCAGTCCGTCGTGTCGTAAGAGGGCAGAGAGAGTCTAGAGAGGAGGAAAGAGTTGAGAGGAGAGTCTCTGCAGCAGCGTTCGGATGCAAGAGTGAGAAGGAATCAGTTGAAGGGAGAGCTGATAGAACAGAGGATGCCAGCGAGGAGGGAGAGAGAGAGCGAATATTGCGACGAGCCGGTGCAGAGTTCGTCAATGAGGGAGGTTTGTTAGTTATAGAGAGTGGAAGGGAGTAAGAGATGAAGAAGTGATCAGACACATAAAGTGGAGTTGCAGAGAGGTAACGTCCTTGGGTACATAGTCCCAAGTGATGTGTAGAACACAAACTGTGCTTAATAGGGTCACACTCTCCTACCTGCAAACCGGACACGAGACAGTGAGTTTTCTTCAACTCGGATCTTCCCCACCGAGGTCCCCACTGCTCCAAGAGCTGGCCTGGGGCAGGCATTTCCACGTCATGCTTTACAGGGAATCCTACATTCATACTACATATGTGAGAGAACGCTCATTTAAATGATTTTGTTTGAAGGTAAATTCACACATGCCCAACATAACAAGTAAAAGAAAAGTGGATGTTTATTTTGCAATGGTGACACTGAAGATCATAAATCACTTATTAAGTAAAAGAACTGAACCCATGTTGACTTACTGGCCTGTTTGCAGGTCTGCAAAATGAAGGTAGCAGCCTTCCTAACCTCCTCACTTGTATCTTCTGTGAGAAGGGTTATGATAACGAGCAGGCCTCCACAATGCAGCAACTGGGACTGGTGCTCCTCTTCAGCCAGCAAGAAAACACGTGGTTAGCAAAAATACTCAACCTGTGGTGTGAGAGAATCAAGAGAATCAGGACTGTGGAGAACGTGTTGACTGTGCAGTCTTACCAGATGCCTCAGTGCAGCGGCCCAGAGTGAGCAAAACAGACAGCCTGTCCTTAGGCTCCAAGTGTGGGATATCCAGCAGGGAGAAGAGGTGGGGAACCACACCATACCGAGAAAGACCCGAGGCCAGAGACGCTACAGAAGAACAGATTGTGGATGGAGAGGGGGATACATAGGTTGTTTAAGTGTAGAGTCTAGATGCGTTAAAATGTGAGTGATATGCACTATTTTCTGTGATGGAAGCAGAAAGGGTCTTGGATATAGTGACAGCAAGCTGGAAAGACGTCGAGCTTGTGTCTGCTGCTGAAGCTAGACGAACCAGTCCAAGAGCGAGAGTATCCAGACACCCGGAGCCATAAAAACTCGCCTGAACATGTCAGCGGCCGAGGTTTCTTCTTAAAAACTAAAAGTGTTGCCAACAACGCCACCTAGGTAAAAGCCCTAGGAACTCTAAATAATTAAAAACAAAGGTTCGTTTGTTTGGAGGGGAGCAGTAAAACAATGAACCAAGAGGAGACAGGGGCGGAAATACGACTAAAAAATATTTATTTTAATACAAAGGTTAAAATATATAAAAGGGAGCTAAAATAGGGTCATCACCACAGCAGGTGCGAAGTCCTGCGCGTCCCTAGTCCACTGGTGTGGACGTCTGATTGCCAGTCGCCCTCTGCTGCTGCTGCTGCTGCTGCTGGTGGTGGTGAGTCTGCTCCTGCCCTCCGCTGCTGCTGCTTCTGGTGGTGCGTCTGCTGTTGCTGCTGCTGCTGCTGCTACTGCTGGTAGTGGTACCTCTGCTTCTGCCTTGCTCCTTCTCCCTTCTCTCGTGTCTCGTTTCTTCCCGGTTCTCCTTGTTGCTCCCCAGCTCTCCTTTCCAGTTTCGCCCTGTTTCTTCCCTGTTTCTCCTTCTGCCAGTGTTCTGTCTTCCTGCTTAAAAAGAGAAAGTTCTGCCCCTGGCCTTTCCCCATTGGTCCATTTGCCATATGCCACTAATTGCTAATGAGTTGGGGACGATTGTCAATTGAGGACACAACTCAAACAAAACTCAAAGCAGATTATAAATTGTCCAGCATGCAATCACAAAACAACAAGTCATAGAAACATGCAATCATAAAATAACAAACTGTAAAAACATGCAACAACAAATCAATAAAACATGCAATCAATAAAATATGCAATCAATTGTGCATGCAATCAATGGTCCCCAATCGTCCACCCAGTGACATACTCCCCCACTTAAACGTAGGCAGTCCCTGCCACTGGACAAGCCTAATGTCGATATCGCCTTGGTGGTAGTCCACGGGTAGCGCGTGCCGACCGGCGGAGCGCATTGTCCACTACTCCTGCTGGTGGTTCAGGAGGCAAAATGTCTGCCCCTACCTCAGGGGGCTCAAAAGCAGGTACTACATAAAATCCAAAAGGTACAGGGTCTACTTCCGCCTCTGTCTCGACTATAGTACCTGGTTCAGGGATGACATTGACAGGGGTTATACAAGGTTTCAAGGCATTCCTGTGTTGGGTTCCCACCGCTCTCTGGCCTAACTTTGTATACCACCCCAGAATCACCCACAAGGCTAACGACAACATAGGGCTCTGGGTTCCACCATGATCGTAACTTCCCTTGTCCCTGTCTGTTCCTATCTCGCACCCACACCCGTTCACCTGGGAGGAGGGATAACGCCTGGGCCTTACGGTCATAGCTTCTCTTATCGCGTTCGGCGGCATGACCCATCCTTTCCCTAGCGAGCTTGTAAGCTAGAGTTAGTTTTTGATGGTGGTCTTCCACCCACCCACTAAGTGCCAACCTGGATTGGTGAGGCGCTACTCCCAACTCTACGTCTACTGGGAGTCTCAGATGGCGCCCGAACATGAGGTAAGCGGGGGCAAAACCTGTAGAACTGTGGACAGTATTGTTGTAGGCTTGCAACAACTCTTGGACATGCTCGGCCCACCTATTCTGTTTTTCACCTCTCAAGGTGCGTAATAGGTTTAGCACAGTCTGATTCAGCCTTTCTACCCTACCGTTCCCAGCCGGGTGGTAGGGGGTTGTTCTGCTCTTTGTTACTCCATACATGGCACAAAGCTGCTGCATCAAAGTAGGTTCAAAATTTGGGCCCATATCTGAATGGAAACGACCTGGGCAGCCGAATGTCTGAATAACATGAGACCATATTGCCCTGACTGTAGTCTTTGCTGTCTGGTCTCGAGTAGGGACAGCCCATGCATAACGAGTAAACATGTCATTACAAGGATGTTTTGGTATGCATCCATCGGCCTACCGAGAGAAAGGAAATCGAGGGCAACCACCTCAAGGGGGTATGATACTACAATTGGGTTCAGGGGTGCCTTAGCCTCTATTTTGTCCTTCTTCAAGCTACATACGACGCACCCCGAATGAAACCCCTGTACCTCTTCTTTCATACGAGGCCAGTAGAAACAGCGTCGAATATTGGCCAAGGTCCTCTCAATTCCTGGGTGTCCGGCCGCCTCATGGTATTTCTGCCAGACCTCTTGGCACCTAGATGCTGGGCACACGATTTGGGGTCGTAGCTCATGAGTGTTGGGGTCAATTACCTCTCGGTAGAGCACCTGCTCTCGGACAACCAATTTCTTCCATTGTTGGAGGATCCTTCCGGTATTTCCGGTCATAGCCCTCTTCTCTGGTCCTTGTGGAGGCAGTCCCTGGCCCACATACCTCTTGATGATGGCAATGTCTGGGTCATCTTGTTGCCAGTTTCCCCAATCGCCGGAGAGTGGCGCCACTCCGTCCTCTTGGTCGAGTCTAGCAGTAGTAAAGTTGACCTTAGCCGATGTTCTACCTGTGCACATGGACACTTGGGGGAACCTGGACAGGGCATCAGCATTAGCATTCTCTTTTCCAGAGCGGTACTTCACAGTGTAATCAAAAGAGGCCAGTTGTGCGACCCACCGCTGTTCCACAGCACCCAGACGAGCAGTCTGTAAATGAGCCACTGGATTGTTGTCCGTGAAAACTACGAATTTAGCCCCAGTCAGGTAGTCTTTGAATTTCTCTACAATAGCCCACTTTAATGCCAAGAGCTCTAGCTTGAAGGAGCTATAGTTTGCATCGTTCTGTTCTGCCGGGTGCAAGCTACGGCTAGCATAAGCTATTACACGCTCTCGGCCGTCTTGCACTTGGGCAAGAACAGCCCCTAGTCCTCTGTTACTTGCATCAGTGTACACTACAAAAGGCAGGGCAAAGTCAGCATAAGCTAGGATTGGGGCTTGGGTTAGGGCAGCCTTCAGTTGCTCAAACGCAGATTGGCATTCTTTTGTCCAAAGTATCTTCTGGGACCCCGATCTTTTATCAGTGGGAATGCCTGCTAAAAGCGTATTCAAGGGTCGGGCAATCTTTGAGAATCCCGATACGAAACGCCTATAATAGCCAGCCAATCCTAGAAAGGCTCTGACCTGTTTGATGGTCGTTGGAGGACTCCATTCGGTGACTGCAGACACCTTTTCGGGATCGGGACGGACCCCTTACTTGTCAACCACATGCCCCAGAAACTTCACCTGTTTCTGCAGAAGTTTACATTTGCTGGTTTTAAATTTCAGACCATACTTCTGGAGTCTCTTAAACACCTCTTCCAGATGCTGCAAGTGGGAGGAGAAATCATTTGAGTAAACAATGATATCATCGAGGTAAACAAGCAGTGACTCCGTTAGTTGTCCGCCTAGGCACCGTTGCATAAGGCGCTGAAAGGTAGCAGGGGCATTACAAAGACCAAATGGCATCCTATCAAACTCGAAAAGACCCAATGGTGTTGTAAAAGCAGTCTTCTCGCGATCTTGTGGGTCCATCTCCACCTGCCAGTACCCACTTGCGAGGTCTAAAGTCGAAAACCACTCAGCCCTATTGAGGGTGGTAAGGGTCTCTTCAATTCTGGGGAGGGGAAATGCATCCTTATGAGTCACAGAATTCAATTTCCTGTAATCCACACAGAACCTCAGACTTCCATCTTTCTTCCTTACTAGCACAATAGGTGAAGCCCATGGACTAGAGCTCTCTCGAATCACATTGTTCTTTAGCATACCTGCCAGCAGAGTCTTCATATCCTTATAGAGAGTTGGAGGTAAGGGCCGGAACCGATCTCGGATTGGAGCTGCATCACCTGTGGGTATTCTGTGTTGAACAATGCCAGTCCGCCCAAAGTCATCATCGTTGGCAGCAAAAACATTACTCCACTTATTTAACAGAACACCCAGGTCTACCCGTTGTTGCTCAGTTAGATCAGGCCGGTCAACTAAATTGTTCACCTCGCAGTCAGGATTTAAATCTTCCCCATATTACTACTTCGGTGAAGGCTGGAACACGTACCTTCTGGCGGGTAGCTGGGCGGACATAATGTGTAGACAAGTCACCTGTTGAGACGCTGATCCGCCGGCATGTAGCGAATGCTTGACTCCAAGCCTTCTAAGCCTGAGGGCTATCACCGGGCAGTGTAGAGCCCCCAGTCTTCTGAAAAAGAGTCTCTCAGCAAGCACTAATGACGTTCATTCCCAGAATCAAGGGATTAGTTGAGCATTTGTTTTTTACAATGACACGACCCCTATTCGGTATCTTAATGTGTCCCACTTCAAAGTTCATCACCGCGTAGCCTATATACGGGATTTCCAGGCCATTAGCCGCTTTGAGAGTCAATACAGCCGGGGTTCCTCCCACACCCAGCTTGCAATCAGGGAAATGTCGTTCCAGTACTTGCTGTTGCATCAAAGTTACTTGAGAACCAGTATCCAGTAACCCTGAGAGTTCTACTCCATCTATGCGAACCTTTACCATTGGACAATTTCCTACAAAGGTTGGGGTGGCCCCTACATTGGCTATACTATCTGACCCTACTACTCGGACCTCAGGAGCAGGGCTAACTAGTTTAAAGCCGGCCTGGTTTCTGAAGTTGCCCTACAAAATCTAGCCACATGTCCCGGCTGTTTACAGCGACGGCAGATAGGCCTACCTTCAGTATCCCATCTATTAGAACAGTCAGATGTTGCTCGTCGTCGTCCACCTACTGGGGGAGCATAAATGGGATGGTTAGGTTGTCTGGGCTCTAGGAGAGGTCGCAGTTCCCGAACAATCTCCTGAGTCAGCCCTTTCATCTGGCCCGCCACTTCTGCCATAATCTCATCTTTAAAGACTTGTTTCCAGTCCCGTTCGGATGTCAAGGGCTTTGCTGCCTGGGCTCCTCGTACAGCAGAACACTCTACCCCGGTCAGTCTTTCACCACCATGCTCGTCATCCAACAGCATTGCTTCCTGGCGTAGATCGTCAAAGCTCCGTCCTGGATTACGTCGGGCATAGGTTTTTAGATCCTGGGCCAGGGCACCATCTTCCAAGCCTAGTAGGAACTGTTCACGCAGATTGTTTTCCGTGGGGGCGTCATCCGGGCTGCGTTGTTGTAGCCTGCAATATAGCCCTCGCAAGCGTAACAGATACGCTTTCACAGTTTCCCTAGGCTTTTGATAACAATTATAAAAATGGGCGCGTAATGCAGGGATAGAAGTTTGTTCCCCATAGAGTGCATCTAAATAGGTAAATATTTTAGCAACTCTATCGCGCTCATCCTCAACCAAAACACCAACCTGTTGTTTGGCTTCTCCCCCCAAAGCTACCCACCTAAGACAATTTCTACTTTCTTTGCTTCAGAAAATTCCTGAATACCTAAAAGTCCTTGGATCTGTTCTTTCCAATCCCCATATTGTAAACTGCCACTAGGTCCTGTATATTTGGGAACCCAAGGGGCACCAGCATACAAAGGCATCAACATCATTATTAAGTTAGACAGGGATTGCTTAGGCCAATGTTCACTGCTCCCGAAAAATCCAAGTCCTGCCAGCAACGCCAAATCTATGTCAGCGGCCGAGGTTTCTTCTTAAAAACTAAAAGTGTTGCCAACAACGCCACCTAGGTAAAAGCCCTAGGAACTCTAAATAATTAAAAACAAAGGTTCGTTTGTTTGGAGGGGAGCAGTAAAACAATGACCCAAGAGGAGACAGGGGCGGAAATACGACTAAAAAATATTTATTTTAATACAAAGGTTAAAATATATAAAAGGGAGCTAAAATAGTCCGTCCAGGGTCATCACCACAGCAGGTGCGAAGTCCTGCGCGTCCCTAGTCCACTGGTGTGGACGTCTGACTGCCAGTCGCCCTCTGCTGCTGCTGCTGCTGCTGCTGCTGGTGGTGGTGAGTCTGCTCCTGCCCTCCGCTGCTGCTGCTTCTGGTGGTGCGTCTGCTGCTGCTGCTGCTGGTAGTGGTACCTCTGCTTCTGCCTTGCTCCTTCTCCCTTCTCTCGTGTCTCGTTTCTTCCCGGTTCTCCTTGTTGCTCCCCAGCTCTCCTTGTTGCTCCCCAGCTCTCCTTTCCAGTTTCGCCCTGTTTCTTACCCGTTTCTCCTTCTGCCAGTGTTCTGTCTTCCTGCTTAAAAAGAGAAAGTTCTGCCCCTGGCCTTTCCCCATTGGTCCATTTGCCATATGCCACTAATTGCTAATGAGTTGGGGACGATTGTCAATTGAGGACACAACTCAAACAAAACTCAAAGCAGATTATAAATTGTCCAGCATGCAATCACAAAACAACAAGTCATAGAAACATGCAATCATAAAATAACAAACTGTAAAAACATGCAACAACAAATCAATAAAACATGCAATCAATAAAATATGCAATCAATTGTGCATGCAATCAATGGTCCCCAATCGTCCACCCAGTGACAAACACAGGCTGCAAAACGAGGTGTTTAGAAGTGTTTAACATTTAATGATGAGAAGCACAGGTTAAGCACGAGCGATTCTGCTTCCTCCACTTACAGTTGTTGGCAACCGTCATCGCTATGAAAGAACATATGGGTTGAAAAATCTCAGTACGTGGCAGAGCAATCTGCTGAAGCCAGACTTTTATTGTGGCAAAGGCCGCCACACAAACACGCTGAGCCTTGTCTGTAAGACAAGAAAGAAAATTGAGAAAAACAATAGTAACATAAAGTTAGTTGCCTGCATGGTTAGGAGCATCAATGTTTTCAATGCAGGCACAAATAAACCAAGGACATTACCATTTTGAGGGTTGTTGACAAATCCACAGAGCGCACTACACACAGATGCCCAAAGCTGGTAAGTCTGAGTAGCATTAGCAGCTCTCACTGTAGCCTCTGTAGAGAGAGGGGAAGTGGTCCTGCAAAAATGTATACTATTAAACTTAAATGTATGTGCTTGTATGAGTAAGTCTCTACACACAACAACATCTCTGGCATACTAATGTAAATTGTTTTACTAATGTCTGGCGTTAAGTATTGTTAAGTACCTGAAGAGGTCCAATAGAATATTCAGGCAGCCAGTTGCTTGACCTAAAGTCTGTCCCTATTCTGCAATAACACACAATCACATGAAACTGACAAAAAACAAGTATGTTTTGTTCCAAAGATGTTAGAATGGCTTGAACTAACTCCAAAAATAATTGCAACTAAATGGCAGAACCAATCCTGCAGTTTTAACTCATCCTTACTATTGTTGGCTACCAACACGGTCAGCAAACACACCGACACGCTCTTCTGTGTCAGTGGGATGTCTTCCTTCAGCAACAAACCAGCAAGGTCTGCAAATGTCTCCTTTTTGCAGAGATAATTCTTGCAATACACTACCAGAAAGAGAAAAATTCTACAATTACAGTATAATTAAAATGGAATTTACTCCTACTGACTTGCATCTGAAGATACCACATTGAACCAATACATTGATATTATATTAACATACGACAGTACACAGGCTTGTTTTGAAAATCTCAAGGATGTGTTCATCCCAGGACCAGAGCCATCTTTAAAATGAGTATGTCATGTGTTGGGTTCAAAAATGAAGAAACGCCGGACGGACAGAGGTCATCGCTGATCAAAAGGTTGAGACCAAATGTATTTAATAAAAGAGATGGCGTTGCGGTAAAAAGAACATCTCAGCTGAGGAGCCGCTGTCAATGTCCCCCATTAGTGTGAAGTGGTCTTGGAACTGTGCTGTCCCTTAAAAGGGAGACTGGAAGGTTGCTTGGACCCTTTCTGAATCGGTCCTAGTCTTGCTTCTGGTCTCCTAGAACGATGCTTGTCTTGCTTCTAGTCCGGCTCTGCGGTGCTGGTTCTGCTGTGGTCGGTCCTGATGCTTCCTCCTGGTCCTGCACGGTGGTCAAGCAGACTCTGGGCTGAGGAAGTCCTTCCTCTCAGCGAGATGACGGTTGTTTGGTCACTGCTCACGGTTCCTTTGGCGCCGCTCATGTTGTTGACAGGTGGTCTCTCCTCTTCTGTGTCATCCCTCTCTGCTCCAGCAGGGGTAGAGGTGCGTCTTCTAGATCCTGTGTGTGACTTGAAACTCATTAGACACCCCCCAGGTATTCCCATAGCTTCCATTCTACTGATGTGGGTTTTAGGTTAATGTAGTTTATCAATTATTGGTGATGCATTCCTGTCTGTTTTTCACTGTGTCTATAGTTATGTTTTGTTTAATCGGGACAATACTGTTATCTTAATAAGTACAACTCAACGGAAAGGTGAATCTCTTTCACCGTCCGACCAGATGTTCAATGTGAACATGTCTATTTACTGTATAGTTCTATATCAGGGAAATGTTTGGACATTATAAATCAAGAACCTTGATCTCTTGTTCTCACAATAATATCAACCGTGTGTATTTGCTTGTATATCTCAATCATTTTAGCTTGGATTTAAATGAGGGATTTCTGTCCCTTTTCTTAATCTGAAAGTTGTGTGGTAGTAACTTGTACAAAAACTAAAGTGTTTGTGGGTGATAATCAAAAGTTATTTTCATGGGCTTAGTTGGGGGTTTGCTGTCTAGTCTTGATTTAAGAGTTAGGTAAGGGGGGAAGCAGGATGTGCCAAGCAGGCAGACACGAGTCTGACAGGATGGGGAGTCAGTTTCTGTCCTGGCTGAGGAATGCAAGGTCTGCGGGTCAACTAGAAGATTTACCAGCCAAAGAGGGTTAGAGACACACCAACACTATTCAACATACACACTCTGTTTACAATGTTTACGTTAAGTCAGGAGTCTGGACATTGGATGTGACCGGATCTTAGATGCGGGAGGTGGAAGGTCCTCCTCTACGCCAGTTTAGGGCCAATAGAAATCTTTCCTTCTCTGTCTTTCAAGGGTTATAAAACATGATGTTCTTGCTGATGTTAGTGAGTTGTTCTTCCGGCCTGTGTGCTGCCTGAACTGCTCCTGCCTTTGCAAACGCAGTGCTGATACTTGACCTGTGATCTGACAAATAAATTTCCCAGAACGAGAGAAGTAATTCGGCTGAATTTTTGATAACACCGACCAGGCTCCAAATCTTGAACACGTATTCTTACAATTTGGTGACCCCGACGTGATTTGCTGACCTGGACAAAGAAAGACGGGAACTTCCGTGTTCCGGACCGAGCTGAAAGGACCGGCGGCGTGGTTCAGCATTGACAACAAGGGCCCAAAACAGAATCAGGTGAGCAGACAACCTTTTGTTCTAAATGAATAAAATGTCTGTGATTGGATACTTCTAAAAAGATTTGTTGTCAACTGCAGAATTCGTCTCTGTCCATTGACTGAATAAGGTCGTTATAAGACCACTAAATTTAAAACTAAATTTGAAAATTTCCTGTTGATCACATGTAAAGTATAAGCACATACTCACACTGAATTCAACGTTAGGGAAAGTGAATAAGTGTCCATAGGTTTAGGGATTTAGGTAAAAATATATATACTCTTAGTCGGTAGAAATCCAAGTTGCAATCCGTGTGGTACGTAGATACCTCTGGTAACTGCAGTCCCACGTTTGCATGCAGTGGACTGGCAGTTTAGAATAGTGTAGGGGTTTAGGTTTAGGGACTTAGGTAAATATATGAAGAGTTTAAAAAGGAACGACGGGGCTCACTTGAGTTCCCTGAGGTCGACTCTTAGTCTGTAGAAATCCAAGTTACAATCCGTGTGGTACGTAGATACCTCTGGTGACTGGGGTCCCACGTTTGCATGTCGTGGACTGGCAGTTTAGAATAGAGCAGGGATTTAGGTAAATTTATGTTAATCTTAGTCTGTAGAAATCCAAGTTACAATCCGTGTGGTACGTAGATACCTCTGGTAACTGCAGTCCCACGTTTGCATGCAGTGGGCTGGCAGTTTAGAATAGAGCAGGGATTTATGTTAATCTTAGTCTGTAGAAATCCAAGTTGCAATCCGTGTGGTACGTAGATACCTCTGGTCCTGCAGTCCTACTTGTGTGATTCTTGGACTGGCAGGTTAGAATATTAGATGAAGAAATAAGGACACTGGGAAAGATTTGTTGTTTTTCATACTGGGAAATGTGTGGGTGGTTGGTGGAACTCCTGGTGTTTTACCGAACCTGGAAGCTGGGCGTATCAGGACTTGAAAAAGGACTGAGAATCCGACAGTGAAAAGTGTTTGACCGGATTACACATCTGTGGGGATATGTATTAAAGGGTAAAAGGGAAAATCATAGTTAAATGATGGTGGTATAAATACGAGAGAAATAAAACAATACGAGTGAACTGGTGTTATAAGCCTCAACAATCGAGCGCTGTATTCCTCTAATACAGTAGAAGGTTCTTGATTGGGTTCACAGTATTGGGCATTGAGTCCTTTCTCTTGTGTTCAAAAACCACGTGTGAATAAATAAATAACCTGTGATGAAAATGGAGGAAACCATAACGATATGGGAGGGGTGTAAAGAAGGCACTCTGGGTTTCGCCCTATTTAAGACCTATAAGAGACATATGGATAAAACCATAGAAAAAGATAGGAAATGTGTAACAAAGAATATGTGAAGTGGGTTGCACAGATGCAGGAAAGAGGAATGTTTGGAAGGGAGACAGATTCTCAACCAACAGGCGAGCAGCTGCAGGACGATCTTAGGATGGCGAGAAGAGGAAAAGACCAAGCGCATGCGCTCCTTGCCGTTAAAGGGAGATTTTGTGGAAAAGAGAAGAAAAGTGCAGAAAAGGCAGATGAGTTCTTAGTGGACTGTAGAACATTTCTGGGAGAAATAAATGCGGTATTCGTGAGTAAGACGGCAATGCAGTTGCCGCAAACCAAAGCAGGAGAAGAGAAAGTGCATGAGACCGGTTGTAAATCTAGTGCACCTCCTCCTTACTCGACAGGCCCATATGCGGAGGCTAATCGGTTGTTAAATGAACCACATCAGATGCCACTGAGGCAAGGGAAAGCTACTAATCCAGGAGAATCGCAGGTTTTGGTAGTTCAAAAAGGGTTGTTACAGGTAACCCCATATCCACATGAAGAGAATGATGGAGTGGAGAAGGTTTCTGCTTTTCTCTCAGAGACGGTACAATATTTGGAGGACAGGCCCCAGCCGGAGCCTGTCGATTGGAGTAATCCTAACACACCACAGGGTCACTCGACAGTCGTAAAGAAGCGGCAACCCGAGCACAGACCTATGACCTCATTTAATGTAGGGGGAGGAAGAGTTGCAGGAGAAGAAACTTTGTTAGAAGTCATAGCCCAGGCAGAGCGGCAATCAATCACCCGGCGTGGACAGGATGAGCGGGGGAGGCAGGTTAAGTCAGAGGAAGATGAGCCTGGCCCTGCAGATGATTGGGACGAGGAATTTCAGGAGCATGGAGCAGCGCTAGAGTCACAAAAACCACATCTACTCCAATGGAGTGCCATGAGACATGGGGGTTAAGAGGTGACAGAGATCCTTTCTGGAGAAGAAGAAGAAGGAGAGTGTGCACCAGTGGAGGTGGATGACTGGGTACTACGGAAAGTAGCCAGATTCAGTTGGACTGATCCCCGCTGGGAAGGTCCATACAACCTTGCAGAAGTAACCACGCACTGTGTGATAGTGTGGTTAAAAGAGGACAAATTAAGTAATTGGATCACAACTGCGTCCCAGCAAATGGACTCTGCTGACTGTGTGGCCTGTGCAGGTGCAAGAGCCAGCCTATGGACAGTGCCCTCGGTCCTTAGCCAGGCCGGTAACATTGACTGCCTGATAGAATTACATACTAGAGAGAATCCAAGTGAAGGTTGCAAGTCGTGGGTAACTATTTTTCCAGGATCACAACCACAAGCAATCCCTCCCATGTTCACTCCCATAAGTGGCGATTATACCTGTTTCACTAAGCATCTTAAAGGGGGACTGAACGTAGGTTCCTTAACCGATTCATGGTGCAATGTGACAATTGATGTAACCACCTGGACAAATATGACCAAATTGACCCAGGCCCGCTCTGATATCTACTGGTATTGCGGCGGTAGCAGATTACTTAATGTACTGTCAGCTGAGTGGATGGGGAAATGCACCTCAGTTTCCCTCATCGTTCCGCTTAAAATAGTTCAAATAACCGCTGAAACATTGAGTAACGAGGCAAAAAGACGTAATTCATTCAGTCGCAGTAAAAGAGAATTTAGCTTAACAGAAGGATCCCCTGTTTATTTCGATGCTATTGGGGTGCCGAGAGGGGTACCTGATCAATACAAGTTAACGGATCAGATAGCGGCCGGATGGGAATCATTGTTCCCTTTTATAACTGTAAACAAAAATGTGGACCGACTAAATTATGTACATTTCAATATCCAGCGGCTCACCAATATGACGAGAGATGCTCTGGAAGGGGTGCACAGCCAACTATCGGCCACCTCATTGATGACTTACCAGAACCGGATGGCTTTGGATATGTTATTAGCTGAAAAAGGAGGATTGTGTGCGATGTTTGGCCAAGCGTGCTGCACTTTTATCGCCAATAACACCGCCCCAGATGGATCCTTTACTAGAGCATTACACGGACTCAGAGCCATGTCTGTTGAATTAGCTGAACACTCTGGTATAGACGGCACCGTCGGTAATTGGTTTGGTAAATACTTTGGACAATGGAAGGGCTTCTTCCTGTCAGTTTTTCTGACCTTAGTAATCGTAATAGTGGTTTTTGCCCTTTGTGGATGCTGCTGCATCCCCTGTATCAGACAACTATGTCTCCGATGCATCACCTCTGCAATAGATGCTAAGATACCCCTGCCATGCCAGATGGCTTTGTTACATGAAAGGATCCAATTGTTAGGGCCGGAGGAGATTGGAGAGGAGATAGGTATGGTAAGAACCGACTTCGAGGGACCTGAAGAAGAAATCCTTTTAGGTTCAACATTCCTGTCCGCGTGATCTGCTAACTGTTGCACACATCATATATAGTGGATGCATACACGTAGATGGTGTGATATTTCTAGGCTAGGATGTATTCTGTGTCTATTATACTCGGTTTAGATGTGGTGTTGATTTTTTGTACTGTTTAGGGATTTCCATGACTGCTGCATTCACCCGTATTCACTGATATAGATTTTTAGCGTTTAGATTAGTGGTTTCTTTTGATTTTTTTTGGTTTACATAATGAATTATGTAAAAAGGAGGAATTGATAATCAAAAGTTATTTTCATGGGCTTAGTTGGGGGTTTGCTGTCTAGTCTTGATTTAAGAGTTAGGTAAGGGGGGAAGCAGGATCTGCCAAGCAGGCAGACACGAGTCTGACAGGATGGGGAGTCAGTTTGTGTCCTGGCTGAGGAATGTAAGGTCTGCGGGTCAACTAGAAGATTTACCAGCCAAAGGGGGGTTAGAGACACACCAACACTATTCAACATACACACTCTGTTTACGATGTTTACGTTAAGTCAGGAGTCTGGACATTGGATGTGACCGGATCTTAGATGCGGGAGGTGGAAGGTCCTCCTCTACTCCAGTTTAGGGTCAATAGAAATCTTTCCTTCTCTGTCTTTCAAGGGTTATAAAACATGATGTTCTTGCTGATGTTAGTTAGTTGTTCTTCCGGCCTGTGTGCTGCCTGAACTGCTCCTGCCTTTGCAAACGCAGCGCTGATACTTGACCTGTGATCTGACAAATAAATTTCCCAGAACGAGAGAAGTCATTCGGCTGAATTTTTGATAACCCCGACCAGGCTCCAAATCTTGAACACGTATTCTTACATGGGATTATGCATGAGTGTATACTTCCTTTAGTTATCAAAGGCTTGGTCAGGCGGCGCGTAGTGGTCGTCATTGACGTGTGATTGAGATCCACTCTCTTCTTGATCCTGAGAATCTCGCAGGTCCTGTGACCAGACTAATCGGGGGATCCGAGGTGTTGGAAGATCAGGATTCCCTGGTCAGCTGTTGAATAGAGAAGCACAATGGGGTGCCTACGTGTATGTCTGTGTGTGTGTGTGTGTGTGTGTGTGTGTGTGTTGGTGCTCTTCCCTGGTGTTCCTCCTCCGGTATCTAAATCTTTCTTTTAGTAATTTATTTTGTTAAGTTTTCCCACCGTTCAATTTGGAAAAATATTTCTATATCTACATCCCTCCTGTTGAGGCATGTGTTATTTTAACACATGTCTCAAAATAAATGTGTTAGAATCAGCATCAGGTCAGCTTCAGATGTCTTTGCATTGGCTCAAAGTTCGACGCTGGCTGGCGAGCTTTTCCTGCTAAGTCCCTCCTGGTGGTCAGCTATCAGCACCCTTTGACCTCTGCCGTTCGCTGCTCCTTCCTTTTCTCCTTGCAGCCTGTCTGGGCTCCAGGACGTGTGATGATCTGTGTCTTCACAATTGGACTTTCATTTGCATTCTCAGTCGTCAGGGCAGCTTACTTGCGTTCTCTACCTGTGAACTCAAAACTCAACTCATGGTTTGTTAGTGACCTAGAACATTCATTTATTCCTAAAGAAAATGATATCAATATATCATATGTAGTTACATGTGTGTATGGTTTGTTGATCAAATCATTACAGGATGATGGTCTGTAACAAAGTTTTCCATTCTGCACTGCTATTACTAATGTTATCCTATGATCTAAAACTTGCTTCCGTCATTAAGATGCTGTATGAGATGTACCGTGCACTGTACATCTCATACATCTCTAAGTTTAAGAGAAAATAACAAATTATTTACAACAAGGTCTACAGATTTGGCTCAAATCACATTATTTCCCACTCATTTAAACGTCTCTCTCTGTGCTAACTATTTACATATATTCATCCACTGCACTGTTGACCGTCTCTACGTCCCTATGGGTCGCACCTCTCTCGGAACGACTCCCTTTTGTCTTACCAGACCGGCTCCACAGACAGCGTCCTGTCCTTTGTCTCTTGCCCAAGTCCCATGGGTGTGTGTGCTAATGTGCATGCTAATGTGCTGTGTGTGTCTGTGTGTGATTGCTCTCAAATTCAGTAATTGTAAAAATGTTTAAACAATAAATGGGAAAATTGTGTTAATGTAAGCAGAGAACAATTATATAAACGTTAAAACATAAAGAATCACATAGAGCCTAGAAAAAGTCCATAGACCGTTTGTAATGCAAGCAAAAATTACATGGTCCTAAGAATGGAGGAAGAAAAAATGTTAGAATCATTTGGAAATGGAGGCAGGGGAGACACTGTTGAATGGAAATACAGAGTGGAGGTGGGAAATACAAAAACTGTGTTACATCTGTGTTTCTTCTTTTAACAGTCGCCGGCTGCCATTTTGGAAATCTCCAAAGCACATGTTCTCCACCCCCAGTAGTGGTGGATAACAAGTCATTGCTATCTCCTCTGTAGACCGTGCTGAGAATTTCTTTCTCAGCCATCTTTTAACTGTTTTCTCTTTGTCTCCGCCCGCCATCCTGTAATGTTCCAAAAACATGTGCTCCGTCTTCCCCAAGACCAGGCCCCAATCAAATCCTTAATCCGGCTTCATTCTTTTCGCAACATGCAACATACAATTATATACAAGTTCGCAACGTTATTCAACGACCGTTATGTATTGTAAATTTACCATTAATTTTGCAATCTGGGTCGTTTTTTCCAATCTAATTCAATGCTGACCATGTCGCCATGACTCTGGCCTTGTTCCTGCATACAATTATTCCGCAAATTTAGTTAGTTCTTGGCACTATGGCTCGTAGCTCTGTCCTCACCGATTCCAATTTTTAATCTTGTTTTCTAGCCATATAGGCGTCGTCTAGTCCATACTTTAACTTATTGTGCTTTCTAACAGAACGTGAGAGAGCTTATCGAGACAACACGGCAGTCGCCACTAGCCGGCGAACCTCGTTCCCTCTCCCAGTATTGACAATACGATCACGATCTCAATACGCCTCGGGGACTTGGTTCTGTTAGAGCTTCAGGCACTATGCATTACGTAACTAATCTATAAGTCAGCTATACGTTTACCCTCATCTGGTTGAGGCCTATACTAGGTATCCATTCATTACTTCTATGACAGATACAGTGAAACAACGTCGCCCATTCGCTTAACGTTAACGCTACACAACCGAGCTTTGTCGGTAACTCATACAAAAGACGTCCAAACAAACACTATATACAATGTGCTTTTTATCACAACGGTCATCCAAACTAAGAGAAAAATTATTTATTTTTTTTCTCTAAAATTCAGTTTACCTCAAAACATCGTATCTTGTCCACTCACACCTAAATGTTCTATGATAAACATACAGCATTTCGGTTTTAAAACAACTGGTTGCCGGTTACCTTTTCGATGGCGCCGTGTGAGTGAAGAAAATCGATCGCTGGGCTTTGTTCAGATCAGCTGTTCCTCCGTCCGTCCATTGCTCCTCATCACGTCGGGGTCACCAAATTGTTGGGTTCAAAAATGAAGAAACGCCGGACGGACAGAGGTCATCGCTGATCACAAGGTTACAACCAAATGTATTTAATAAAGGAGATGGCGTTGCGGTAAAAAGAACATCTCAGCTGAGGAGCCGCTGGTCTCAGCGACCAACAGGCCCCAGGTCAGTCCTTTGACCATCCCTAGTGCCCGTCTGTCGCCTCCACCAGTGAACTCGAGAACAATGGTTCCTACAGGTATTTATAACAATGCTTAAAGGTGTGAAAGTCAGTGTCCACACCTCTGGGAGTCTTCTGGTGAGTTCAATGTAACTCGGGATTTTGAATGATCCTTAGTCAATATCAGTTGTTGTTCAAGTATTACATGCATGCATTCCAGTTGATTACAGTACAACAAATACAATCATAACTGCATTGGTATTATTCTATAACAGTTACAGATTTACAGTGGTTTTACTATATTACTTTATAGATTACACAGTTTCAGAATCATGGCTGTATTCTGGTGTACACTATATGCAATTTTATTAATTTTATGAACCGGGTTGTATATTTGTTTCTAATATCCTACACATGATAAAGTTACAAAGCTATCGTATCGGTGTCCTTTGCAGCTTTTAGTTTCCCACAATTGAAAGAAAAATGAAAAATGTTAAAACAGTAGTATTACTCTTAGCTGTTTGAAAGAATTTAAAGAATAAAATAATTGAAAGAAGCTTTTGGACTGCATCCCCCAAAATGAGTCCCTGAATTGGCATTCTCACACACACAGATACACACAAGCATACACACGCCTACCATTGGCCTCTGCTAAGGTGCCCAGTGTAAATAGGGCCGTCTCCTTAACATCTGAGCGAATGATGCTGGATTTGGACAGTTTATACACAAATGAGACACCTCCCATTTCCCTCAGCAGGTCCACATTGTCCTCTGAAATGATGAACGTGAAACAGGCGATGGAAACATATTTGTTACGCTGTTTGAATATTCACTGATTTAGAAATACATTATTACCGCGTGTTTGTCAGAACGCATGTGTTCTGTTGCGTTTGGTCATTTGGGGTTCACTATTAACGTACCTCTCTTTTCACAGACTGAAAAGAGAGCTTGTTTTGACAAATCGGGACATTTCATCTGAAACTTCAGACACTCAAGCAGCAAACTGAGATCTGTCCTAGTAGCTGAAGAAAATAAACTAAATAAATCACGTTAAGAAGAAAAAAATGAGTTAATGAGTGAAATTAGCAGGCCCATCCGCAAATACATAACGTTATGCTAAACAAAGTGTAAAGATGTGGAGTTGGTGTCACTTACTATTACGGCGTTTGCTGCAAACCCCTGTGTTAGCCATTTCACTGCTTAAATGACTCAGAGGTTTAATGAGTGCATTAAACAACAAGTGCTACTGTCACCGAAACACTATTTACAGAACTAGCTAGTTAGCTAACTTTGCTAACCCAAATGCGATATTCAAGCTAACGCTGCCTTATGCCACTTATTAAGTGGCTGAGTTACGTTTGATGAATGAAATGTATCTCCAAACAGTAAGTTAGAGTTAGCTAATTTGTACTTTTAACTGAACAAAAGTTAAATTAAAGTAGAAGCCTATCAACGTCAGCCATACCGCAAAAGTGTTTGCGTGATGTCTGAACGTCACGTCACCATGGCACTATGAGATTTGACAGATGTGCCTGGATATGAACACTGTAAATAGTGTACGTGTGCATTATCGGTCAAATCACTAATGCAATGAATAAATATGAATGAACAAAATAGTAATGTAAAAAAAATATATTGTTTTAATATCAAAATGATAATTACTTGTTTCAACCAGCATATCAAGCTTAAAATGTCCTGAACAAAGATCGTCAATTTAAATTCCCCCTACAATGTTTTATAAATACTTTTTCTTTTTTTTCTTCTTCCTGAAAAGATAACGGCATGGACTACGACCGTGCGTCCGTTTGCTACCTCACGCCGTCATGTTCGGAGTTTTGACCATCGACATCGAGTCAAATGTAATGCCGGTTTGCACGTCTTTCGGTCACTACGCGGTCTTCATACTTAACATGAACCAAATCAACGCGTGTCTGTTGGGCTCAAGCGTTTTGTCGTAACGTGCGTCGCGTTGTATTGGTGAACATCGGGGAAACTAACGGGCAAGCTAACGTCAACTTTTGAGTTTTGTGCTATGTGTTGTCAATCGGATCAAACGTGAGCTAGCCTGCGCACATTAACGCGGCTGGCACGTCATAACGTGGCGTTATAATACACTGGTCTAATGTCAAAGCGCACGTGTTCATTTTAACCTGACTCGCGAAACATCTGGCTTCCTGTCACTTTACGTTAGCTCGTCCGACCTGTGTCCGCGCGCGAACGTGACGTGTGACGTTACGGTTCCTTTTTCTCCTGACGTAGGTTTTTGGGTGAATGAGAACAACTCAGACGGCACAGTCTGTTAGAGATGTCTAGACGTGTGTGCTCCACAGAGCTGCACGCTACACGCTGACGCCCTCCAGCCCCACTGCCCCATCCCAGGTCCGTCTGCGACCAGTACTTCTCCCCTTTTTGATCTTTGGTTTCATCTACGCAATATCACAATCTAATGCTGTCATTTTCTCCCGCCCACATCGCACTCGCTCTTTGCAGAAGCCCACCAGTGTAACTACTCGTCCTCGTCCTCGGGCCCCCGCAGATCAGACCAGCGGGGCCTCGCTGGTGAGGAGACGGGGAACTGGTCCCAGAGCAAGCGGCTCCGCTCGACCCGTCGGGACATCGACTTCATGCTGAGCGCCGTCCAAATCAACGGGTTTCTGCGATCTAATGAGCAGACGATTGATGTGATTGTGTCCCTCGGGCTACTACGGGTGCAATGTTTCTGAGGTCCTCTTAGGTTGATCTTTTCTCTTTCTAATATAACGCATGCAAGTTTTACATTCGATGCGTGACCCTTCCCCTCTCTGCGTGCTCCAGAGTGTGAGTGTGCCGGAGTTCGATGGCAGAGGGCTCTGCGCCATCCAAAAGTTTGAGAGCAACCAGCTTGCCGCTAACACGCCCAATGAAGATCGCCGAAGTGCAGCGACCTGCCTGCGTCGTCCATCCCCCTGCATTCATCTCCCTTTTCGCCTGCTCACGGTGTCCATTGTTCCCCAGTCAAAGGTGTTAAGGTTTTCGGAAGCTCTCGAGGGAGGACTCAATCCTTTGTTCTCGTCCCGGCCGGAAACGAGGACATGAATGAGTCAATTCGTTTAAATTCAAAAATCAAAAAGTATTTAATGACTAAACAACGTAGTAGGGATTACAATTACAAAGTGAAATACTAAGCGAACAGTGGAATATTTCGCGAAATAGAGAATCCTCTGAGCAAGTCTGAAGTGACTTATCAACGCGGCTGCAGGAGAAATTCTAACAGTCTTTCCCCCGCCATGGTCCTTTGAAAACTCTTGAGGTGTGTCTTCCTTGGTGCATTTGAATGTCATTGGCCTCTTCTCCAAAGGGTCACCTCCTCCATTGTCCCTTCCACGTCGAGGTGTGAATCTGCAGCTGTAACCTGAAACCTCTCTGTCCTAGCTGTCCCTCACATTCCAATGCACTCAATGTAGATACCGTGGCTTTATGCCCCAATGAGTGAATTTAACAAAGCATACATCGTTTAAGTCTTCATCTTATAACTAGTACACTTTCATTACAACAACCCATCATTAATGATCACCGTTCATCACACTTCATCATAAGATCTAAGACAGTTCATGTGGTTCAATTCTCAAGACATTTGCCTCAGTCGGCTGCCTTGCAATAAGTTGTTCATTTTATTACCTGACAGGAGAAAAAACTCCCCAAAAACCCTTTTTGGGGATAAAATTGGGAGAAATCCATAAAGAACGGCAATTGGCATCCGTCCCCAGGTTTTAACATCACATTGTGACAGAATGTTAATGTGTACAGTGTTTACATGATTTAAATGACTATGAATTGTGTTTGATTGAAATTGCATTCACTTCATCTAACATGTTAATGTAATAACTAATATCTAACATCACACAAACTATAATTCTAACACTAAACATTATTACACGTACTATAATTCCCTGACTAGGGGTGCACTTCTGGCTTAAATCCCTAACAATTCCCTCCTTGCTCACAGTTCACTGTGAGCATCTCTCAAAGACAGAAAAATTATCATACAGTCACATCCGTCAACAGTGATTGTCCCTCATCATCTACTCGCTACCGATTTCCCTGTATACTAGTCTCACTAAGCACAATATCGACCAATCCCTGCAGGAATCCAAGGATGCAGGAGATGCAGCTTCATCCGTAGTGGACTAGTTCATGACTCTAACACAAGAAGGGTTAACGCAGACAGTAATGCACTTTTCCGTTGTGCAATAATACTGACAAACCCGTTGGTGAGAGGATTGTCGTCGCCTTAGTTGTCTGCCAGCTGCTGGTTCGAGCTGTCAGTGGGGCTTGTGCTCTGGCCACCAAGCCACCAGGAGCTGTGTTGTTGGAGATGATCGCACAACAAACAGATCCAAACATTTTGCAGAAGTTACCGCTTCCAGCTAACATCATGTCTAAAGCCACTTTATTATTCTAGGCCATGAATCTCATTTCATCCAATGACTCATGCAGGTCTTCATTTGTAGCACCTGTCTGTCATCAAATGCAGTTTCATCCAATCAACATTTTATTATTGTCCACAAATTCAGCTGTGATCTGATTCTGGAATTCAACATCATCTGGCACCCTCCTTGGCACCTTCTTAGCATCCTTTTCGCTTATTTATGTGACTTTCAGACTAATGTAGATCTGTCTTTCTTCTTAAGGCTTTCTCTGGTGGTGTTTATTCCTGGTGATGTGATCTTAACTACCAGTAACTGTGTCTACTGTTAACCGCATCAGTGTCATAGGTAAACCGTGAGTTTCCTCGGAGGAATCAGTGTAGTTTGTAACACATAATTCCTTATTAAATCTTTCTCCCACATGGCTGCTGTTGGAAACCCTCCTGAAGATGTCCCCCTGGATCTCTTAGTGAATCTGGTCTCAGTCGCTTAAAGTTCAACACGTATCAACACATTATATATGGACAAGGTATCTGAAACTAAAGAAAAAAAGCACTATAGGACATATAATTTACCCCCCCCCAGGGGCAGCTCTGGATGTGTCTTTCAATTGATGCTCCCATCAATTGAAGTTTGTTTCTGGAGGGATGACATCAAACAGAATAGCCGCTCTATATGTGGCGGTGCCACAGTGATGCTTCAAGTTGACAACACATGTTGAGGAGGAGAACATAACCAGTGGGTCAATGGTTGAGACCCTGCCCTTCATATTTTACTCTCCCTCCATAAATGGACACCATCTCTCCACTTGTTGTCGTGTGGATCCACTTGCATTGAATAATGATCTCAGCTCTGTTTGGAGTGAAATAGAAACAACACATACAGGAACTTCTAGCCTCCTAAAAACAATTCTTACTTTCAATTCTTACTATGATATATGCCTTTCAACCGAGACAATGCTGTAGTTATCTGAATAGGCACAATCCTATGAAATGGTGGACTTCTCTCCCCTCCTTCTGTCCAAATGTTCCCCCGTGAATGTGTCTAATGCTGCTTAGTTTTATCCTGGTAATGATTGGTCATTGCAACCGAATAGACGCTCTGAATTCAAAATCCTCAAGTTCTGTTACTGTAATATCGTTGGCGTATGTTTGTTTGCATCCTGAACATTCTTATCATATGTGTTTATCAAGTGTCCCAGCAGTTCCCGTTCCTTCTCTAATCTGGAAATGGTGTGTCACATTAGCTCAGTGTTTGTGGATTCCTTCGTTGTATGTGTGTGCCTATACTTCTCCTCCTTGATGTTCCTCTGCTGGAACATCTGTTGTTGTCAGCGGTTTGGTCAGATGACACGTAGCTGTCATCCTAGACTTGTGATTAAGCTTCACGCTCCCTCCTTGGACCTCGGACCACCTCAGTTCCTGTGAGCAGACTGCTCTGCTAACCGGAGGTCCCATTAGGACAAGATTCCCCAATCGGCTGTTGAATAGAGAAGCACAAGTGGTGCAGCTATGTGTGTGTGCGTGTGTGTGTAGGTGTGTCTAGATGTGCGTGTGAGTGTGTGTGTGTGTGTGTGTGTTCTCCCAATTCATGTTGCTCTTTCTTCTGGTTTACCAAACTCTTCAAGCAAACAAGTTCTACCATCTAGTGTGTGCATATTTAAACATAACTGGAACTCAACCTTTTACCCACTTATTTCCCAGTTTTAGCTATTTCTTTTAATGTGGAGTAATTGTATCATCTGTGTGTCTCATCAGTCCTTGTGCCTGTGAATGAGAAGAGCAATGTCATTGCACATTCGTTCCAGGAAGAAAAGTCATGTTGGATCTTCCTGCGTTGGTCATCGTCTACTGTTATCCCTAAAATGCCACTTGAGTAGCTAAACTCTAACATCTAGTGTTTTCCTAAAAACATTCTAATCAATTTGTGAGTTGTTTCATTGATAGAACGACTGTATGTTCTTCTTAACACCTTAAATCAATGTCATCTACACATCTCTGTTGTTTAGAATCTTATGATTGTGTTTTACACTGCATGCAATAATGTTCCCATATCGGCAGATACTCTAGTTGTATTCTGTTCTCCCCCAGTCCCTCATGTTGAGGTAGGTGTAAAAGCATCCCTTCACATAGCGTTTGGTGATGCTAATCACCCCCAGGCCACCTCCTGGCTCATCCAACAACGTCGTAAAACCCCCACAACGCCGTTTCTACTGGGTGTCGTTGCCGATCTGGACCTTCTCGCATTGGAGTCGCCTGCTCCTAACTGAAAAGCAAAACATAGTTAACAATTGCCATGCACATGTATTCGAGGAAAAATGTGTCAGTAAATTTTATAACTCAGCTCATGCTTAGTTTGATCCAATCCATTCATTCATTAATGATAGATCACCAACCTTTCATGGTTAGCGTATCCAAATGTAAGGGTGTACTACTTGTTGAACATTACAGGATGACCGTCTGTAACAAATTTCCATATTTCGTGATCTGGTGCTATAAATGTTCCTTTGATCAGACATTTGCTTCAATCATCAAGATACTGTATCAAGTGTATCGTGCACTATACACTCAATAACAGCACTCAACAATTTACCGCCCATCTCTGAATTCAGGAGAAAACTCAAAAAACTACAAACATTAATACAACATACGGACAATATATACCACAACTCTCCTAATTCCTTATCACCTTCATTCCTCATTTAAATCTTACACAACCTTATCTCTTAATTTCAATGACTGATTTCCCCTTTTTAAAATCAATCTTCCCTACGGGTTTAAGTCTAGTTTGAGCTGACACTCTCAGCCGTGTATAATCTCTAGTCTCCCTTTTCTACCTGGAATGTGAGTCGTAAACCGTGGACGCTGAGGGTGCTTATCTGAGCTGTTGGAAAGCAGCGGGGGTCGGTGTGTCACCAGTTAGTTGTTTAGGGCCTCGTCTGCTGTGGGGTTTGCATGAGGGGGTGGAGGTGAGGTAGACCCTCTGGTCCTGCCGGGGCTGCATTTGACGGGAAGACCGTGGAGGAGCTGCACTGAACTGCATGTTCGTTGGACATATTCTTGACCAATGACCCGTCTGTCCGCATAAGTAGCATTCATCTCCTCTTCCCCTATTATTTCCACGTCCTCTGCCTCTGCGCTGAGGTGGTGGTTGCTGGTCAACCATTGAACGGTCTCTGACTGCTGGGGCTGGATATTGGGCCTCTGGAGGAACGGGGTATTGGGGTTGCTCGTCTGTCACCTGCAATTGTTTCCTGACTCGCTGTCTTTTGTTTACTTCTGCATCCGCCGCTGCCAGTTGGATCTTCAGGAGTCGATGCGTCATCTTCCCCAGTTCTTCTTGCCTCCGTGTCTCCGCAGCTCTCTGTATTTTGTAGAAGTGGGTTAGATGGTCTCTCCATGTGATTTCATCCATGTTGTCCAGTCCCACTACTCCCTCCAACGCTGTTTGAACAGCCTGGGGCAAGCCTTGCTGCACAGTGTGTCGCCAGATTACTGCAGTAGATTTGTTATTGTCGTGTCTTTCTCCTGTGGCCAAATGCCATTCTGTCTCTGCTCTCCTCAAGTACTGGAACATCTCTTCTGCTGGCTTCATCTCCAATGTGGCTAGGACTGTCATGCTCATCTTTGTGGGCCAAACTGTTCGCATCGCTTCCCAGAAAGCTCCTCTGAGACCGTCGAATGGATCATCATCTTCTAAGTCTGTTGTACCTGATCTTACTTCCAAGGCTCTCAAATTGACTGTTCCCTCTAGACGGGCTACTAAAGCCCGTATATCTCCAAGTGCCAATTTATCAGCCGTTGTGTATTTTTCAAAGAGCAGGATCCATGGGTTAGCTCCTTCTCCCAATGGTGGCAGTGCCTTCTCCAGAGCTTCCATGTCCCGATGGCCCCAGGGCACAAACTCTCTCTGACCGTTGGCTTTTCTCAGCAGTGGGCACTGTGGGACAGGGGAGGCTGCAAGTGGCTCATTTCTTATAGGGAGAATATAGTCTGCATAGTGGTTTGGAGCCTTCTTCACCAGGATACAATGTCTATTGTGATGACGTCCTCCATCAGCAACCTCTCCTTCTTTGTCGTTGTTTGGATGGGTCCTCTGCACGTGTATTTTGATAGACAGGAGTCCTGAAGTAATATACAGCTCCTCTGCGGCCTCCTGGTATTCACTTGGTGTTTTACGGCCATGTTCACAGCTACCTGCTTCCTCCTCTCTGGCCCTGACAAGCAGTTCCTGAGTCGTAAGCGCAGCCATCATGCAACCTGGAATACTCTAAACAACCGCTAAGCTGTCCCTTCTGTCCTAGGTGGTACTCTGTCACTAACAGCAAAAAACCCAAACTAAGTCACTTCCAACAGCTGTCCGAGGAAATGTCAAATCGAACCATCGACCAGAATCGACACAGTAAAACAAACAACCAAATCTAACAGAAAGAAGGGCGATTTACAACATCAAATCAGTCCTATAACTACAGTGTAATTTACTAAACTATCTTGTTAGACCACTAGGTTAAATCAACTTAACAGTACTTCTAACCTCAAAATCAAATCAATCACGGAACTGTAAAAATTAGTATAATCAATGATCAATGCCAAAGACTATAATTACAATTGTACAGAGGAAAAAGAGAAAGAATTAACCACATCTCAAATCAAAACTCAATCTTCATTCAAAATTCAAAAGTCTAAAAACTAAACTTTAATAAAGTTAATCTTGATGTCTAAAAATGAATTACTCCAAATTATTAATCAAGGTTACAAAATTAATCAAAGTTATGATGATACAGTCAAACTGCCGGCAATATCAATCAGGAAGTATAGCAGAAGCACTCCCCCACAAATGCCGCCAGAGATTATACCGCAATATAAACAATGATCCACCCCCAACCCAGAGACAATGCAATGACAGTCAATCTGGTTTCAGCTAAACATTGGAGATCGAAATCAAACAATTCATAACAGCTTCTCAAAAGCACCACATCAGAATTAAATCAACCTCCAATTCCAATCCAAAATCGATGCAGAACTATAGTACAAACCAAATTCAACGTGACATTACAGCACTTTAATGTTTCAAATAAATGTCAACACCAATCCAGATATCCGTCAAGTTGTCTTATCAATCTTTACACTATCCTAGTAAGTAAAGGCAAATGTGCATCAAAGTCAACGTCCGAACTCGGAGCAAGTGAGGAAATTGAACTCCCCCTCTTGTAATTCCCTCTTACACCCACCACATGGCACACTCAGGGGCTTCCCCTCACGATGTGCACTTACTCCAACCACATGAGGCGCTGTTCAGCCGATAGCTGAAGATCGAACACAGAACTACCAAAGAGGAAGTGCCTCACACCTCAGCACATGGATCGTAAAACGCCGTGTGCTGGCGTAGCGAAGAACAATGGGCTGAAGCTAACTGCTAACCCACGCTATATCCCCAGTGGAATTACCAATGAGACCCCGTTAGCCGCTGGCAAGGCAGCCCCACGTGGTCCGGGTTGGTCTACTCACCAACACCTTAATATGCTATGGTTTTACAACCCGACGCCGGAGATGATCAGTCTCCAGTTCGGATTCTATACATATATATACACTGTTAAACAATCACATACACATAGTAAAACATAATTCGGAACATCTATTCATCAATCAAGCACATGCACCACGTTACTCAAACACTCACGCACCACGTACTCACACTCACACCAGCATGCAGATGTATATACACTATCATTTACACTAAAGCGCTTATCTGCCACCCACCCTCTTCTAGATAACCTATCTACCTAATTCATAGGATTTCCAGAGAGTGGAAAATGTTAAGCAGATCTTACCAGTCGCCGCTGGATTTCACCTTAACCATAACCTTAACCAGTCGCCGCTGGATTTTCTTTTAAGCAGGACTACTGGCCCCACTTATTAAATGAGACTACTGGCCTCAAAACAAGACTACTGGCCTCAAAACAAGACTACTGGCCTTGCTTATGAAATGAGACTACTGGCCTCAAAATTCAAGGCAATACTGCAGGCCTTTAACCTCTTCCTATCCTCCAGACTTCAGGCCTCCAAAGCTTCGAGCTTCCTTAATCATATACTTAACCAGTCGCCGCTGGATTTTCCCGTAAGCCAATCCCGTAGAGCAAGCTCCCCCCCCCCCAATCTATTAAAATCCTGCAATACCTAATTGTGAAGGACCTTATGCACAGAGAGGGGAAATGAAGAGAAGAGTCTTCTCTAAAGACGCCGTAATTATTGTGGGAAACCTAGTGGACAACATGCGCATTGTCACGCCTCATGCGAACCCCCTAACCAATCCCATACGGGTCTACTTGTATGAGTTTATCCTGCTGGTCTTTATGTCTCAGCAGACCAGTTCGCCGCCTGGATTTTTCTAACGCTCTAAGTGTGTACCTGAACGCACCAAACGCGCGTGTTTGGAATTTCTAAAAGCCGGCTCCCATTCGCATTCACTTTGCAAAAGTATGTCCCCACTGTTATTTAATATCAGCTTATTATATTCACCCAAGTCATCAATGCACTAGCCTTTAGCCTTTAGCATCTAAAGCCTTGCCTCATGGCCGACTGCCAGCACCACTCTAAATTTTCCTAAATCTACCTATCACAGAATTCATGAAAAAGGTTCTGTTTTACCTTGTTTGTACCCGTGGTACTTGCAGTCAAACCTCTCAGCAACGTCTTCCCCCAACGAGAGCCCCACGTTGGGTCAAGTGCCTCTTTACAATGACCTGATGAAAAGCACAGCCATCCAGGTACCAACACCACCCTTTTCCTTGCTGCTCCCGGCGTGCTCACGGCTACGGGGTGTTCATAGACCTGCACCATCGTCTGTCCAGGTCGCGTTCTCCGTGTGCACAGCCTGCGTGGCTCATGTTTCCACGGACCGGATCCATGTGGCGAATTCCGGTGACAGCAGAGCGGTATTGGGCGTGCTGGAGGAGGATGGATCCTGGAGTGCTTTGCCCCTTTCCCTGGACCACAACACACAGAACCAGGCGGAGGTGGAGAGGATCAAGGCCCAGCATCCGCCCTCGGAGAGAGCCATGGTGGTCACAGACGACCGACTGCTCGGGGTAAGAGCTCCTCGCTGCATAACACTCAACAGGCACAGAAGTAGCCGTGTGTGAATGGTAAGTGGGTCGCTGGTCCTGAGCTTTTATGGTGCCGTCAGGTTCTGATGCCGCTGCGGGGGTTTGGCGACGTAAGATTCAAGTGGAGCCTCGAGCTGCAGCAGAGCATTTTAGCCGGCCTGGAATCAGGGGTGGACCTGGACTCCCTGAACCTGTACCAGTACACCCCGCCCAACTACCTCACTCCACCCTATCTGGATGTGGCGCCCGAGGTAACGCACCACAAGCTGAGGCCCCAGGACCGCTTCCTGATCCTCGGCACCGACGGGCTGTGGGACGAACTGGGGAACAAGGAGGCCGTGCGACTGGTTGGAGAGCACCTGAGCGGGATTCACCTGCAGGTTTGTTTGTAGATTGAAAGTGACGTGCGTTGTTGTAACTTCCATCTTGATCCATGTACATGTCTTGGGTTCTCTATAAGTTTCTCTTTTTCTTCTTCCTTTTACAAAGGCTCCTGTTTCTCCATCAGAGAGGCAAATGAAATTGGGTCAGATGCACAAGCTCTTGCTGGAACGCCCGACCCGTGCGTCGCCCGCTTTAGACGCCAACGTTGCTACACACCTCATCAGAAATGCTCTCGGCACCGGGGAGTACGGAGAACTGGGCCAGCAGAGACTGGCCACTATGCTCACCTTGCCCGAGGACCTGGCTAGACTGTACAGGGATGATATCACCGCTACCGTGGTGTATCTGAACTCTGACCTGGCCAGACCTCAACACTGCTAGCAGAAGGATATATAATAAAAAAATATAAGAAGATATTTTTTGATATAAAATAAGATCATTACGATCGGTTACATACATTGCTTTATAAATATTTTTTGATGAAAGAGCAGTATTCAGTGTTTTATGCAATAAAAAGAGGAGCAGATTCTATATATTTAACATAGGTTACATTTCCAAAATTATAGCATTTATCAAGTTATTTTCTGGCATTTTTCTTTATTTTTTTAGCCTTCACTGTATTCAAACGGCTATTTTACCGGAGATCTATTACAAAAGTGGAAATGTGCATTATGCTTAGACAATACATCTGAAAGTTTTTTTTTTCTTTTTAGTTTAGGCTTTTTTGCTACTTATTTGGGGTAAATGTTATTGTTTTATATTTAAAAAATAGTAATTGGATTGATAATAAGTAGTTCTAGTTATAAATGTAAATGCTCTCTTCAGGCTGTTCGTCAGATATATTTAAGTTGCCACTGTAAAGGTGCTGATGCTTCTTATTAAACCAATGAGAAATTACTTTGTCTCACTTGTGCTCTTTTCATCACAGATACATTCGGATTGCAAGTGAATACAATCTAAATAATTACACCGTCCAACTTGCAATGCTTTGGAAAATGTAGAGTGCTTGTCGTTCAAAGCTGCAAAATAAACTGTGCTGAGTGTCACAGAAAACAAGTGTAAACACTGCTACTCTAGAAAAAAGGTGTGTCCTGACAGCGGCCACAAGGTAAGCATGGAGCGCATAAACACACCTGCATCTCTGACTGCAATTCGCCCCGAGCTCCTCGCTTCTTTGTTTTTAACTCATCAAATCAGACAAGTTTCCAGTCGACGTCAGTACAAGCAAAGAAAAGCTGAGAACCGCACAGCAGGATTACTGCTTACAAATTGCAAATACTAACATAATATTGAGTGTGGGAGACGATCTGTTTATCGTGTTGACCGAGGAGCCCTGGAGGTAAGTTGGTAAAGGCTACAAACCAGGGAAAAGATCCATCTGTTGTCTAAAGAAGATGATGACGGAAAAACAAAGGACTTGGAAGCGGCTCTCTGTACTGTGCCAGGTGCAGGTGAGTGCTGTCTGCCTCACTGTAAGTTGTACGTAGTTTTGCTGCAGTCAGAACTATCTATTGCTTTGCTCACCTGCGTTTTCATTTATATTCATAATACACATTGTTCATCACTGGGTCTTCATGCCTTTAAAGCAAAACTTGTGTTAATATTGAACAGTTAGGTTTTTCACAAACCTCATTCACAATATTTTATATTTAATTTTCATTTACACCTTCCTACACCCCAAACCATATATATTAATAGTATATTCCTTTTTTAAGTGAATTATAGGTTGGCATATTTGAACTGGACGATGCTTGAATGATGTTTGTTTCTCAGCTGCAGCAGGGATTCAGCCTTGTTGCTCGAACAGTAGAAAGAACTGCACGAATAATGAAACCCTAAAAGGCAAACATGGTAATGTTGAAATAGAACTAGATTGTAGTTCTCTATCGGACTTGACGTGAGTTCTGATTCAAACAAAACAACCGTGGCATGGACTTCAAGCATCTCCCCACTGCCATGTCTGGCAGATTGAAACGACTTTCCTTGCTACCCCGTCACTTCCAAGGGGCTGGATTTTGAGAGCTACCCTGTGTTTGTTCTGCTGGTGGTAGAGACAAACGAGGAGCCTCAACTGCCACCGTCACGGACAAGCAACCTTCTTTCTCGTAACATAAAGCTGTGTTTTTCAATTCTTTAGATAGTGTCCCGGCTACAGGAACGGGTACTCTGGTTGTGACTTTATCAGATGTCAATGACCAGTATCCTGTTACCGAGCAGAGGAAAGTCAGTCTGTGCAACAGCGACCCTTCTGCTGCCCGGCTGCATATAGTGGACCTCAATGGACCTGGAAATGCTGGACCGTTTACTGTACAGCTTCAAGGAGAGCACAGGATCAACTAGACAATTAGTACCAATTCCACAAGCAAGCAAGCTTACATACATCATACAAATATGTGCAAATACGTAGTCGGTTAAATGACAACAACAAATTCATTCTTGCAAAGTGGAAACATTTGAATCACACGTCTACATGCAGCAGTAAAGCAAGCACTTCTCACGGCTCAATTCTGAATCTTTTTTTTCCTCTGCTTGCAGGTGACCTGGCAGCTTTGGCTCCGAGACGGGAGGTGTCACCTGGGGACATCATGCGGATTAATGATGTCGGCAGGATGTACCAAGACAGCACACTGGACATTGAAGTGTGCCAATGTCAAGGGGCTGTGGCGTAATGTTTGACGTCCAGCGGCCATCAGTGTTTGAATGGATTTGTTTTGCACTCAGTGGGTGGCAGTGTACAGCACAACCCGCTGCATTGGCAGGCAGCACCTTTTTTGTTCTGTGGTCCCTCGTGACTATTTGACCTATATTCCGATTATAATCGTTTTTTGTTGAAAAGAGAGTGTGAATAAGTTTAGCCTCACACGTCATTGTAAACTTTGTGTATATAAACCAGTAAGTGCTTTATTTTTCTCCTATATGAGAGTGGACGATGGGGACAAAACGTATAATCTCAATCTGTCTCTAAAATGATGGCCAATGATTTCCCTGAATCACTTCCTCATGAGTGGACTTACTGTCGTACGTTATCATCCAGCTCAAGTGAACTATGACCGCCGCAGTCTACTACACTACTGTGAGTAGTGTTCGCCTGAATGTTTGACATTTTGTGCTACACAACATGTTCTGTTGACATGAGGGGTTTTGGATAAATGAGGAAAAAGCGTGACATTTGGCGAAGGTAAGCTGCCACATCGACCAAAATCAATTGTCACATCTGAATCAAAGGTGTGTGTGTGTGTGTGTGTGTGTGTGTGTGTGTGTGTGTGTGTGTGTTTGACGAATCATCTTTCAACTCGCATTTTGTTTCCCCTAAACAAGTTGACAGATGACACAGAACATGTTCCAGGAGGGGTTGTACCACGTGTTTTTTAAGGGGACACCCTCACCCCTCCCATTGAACCAGGTTACCAGAAATGGGGAGCTAATAAACGGCAGGATTCATCGCTGGTTTGGGACTGTGGTCAATACTAGACTTTTAGTCACAGGAGTGAGATGCTCCTATCGTGCAAACTATTGGTTGACATTTTTCTTTTCAAACTCTTTCTAAGCGCTTAAACTGTCAGGCTGCTTCATACCATGTGCTTCCTCTCAGGTGGTGCAGCTCCTTACTGCATTGGCTTGCATACTCGCCACAATCACCCATGCGTGCGTGAGCTACAACTGCTCCGTGTCCATGACAACGCCGGTGTGGTCGAGCTTATTTGTGAGTGCATGTTTGCGTCAATTGTAAAAAAAAAACTGAGAGAGACAAAGATGGATTAAAACACTGCAATCATAACTGTTGGTGTTGTTACAGTTTTTGGCGGCTGGGACTCTGGCAATGGAGGTTCAGAGGAAAGCCAATAGATTAAAGGTACATATTTTGTGTGGCTGTATTGCTTACGTTGCTTAATTGCGTATGAATTCTGTAAGATTATCGCTCTGATGGGTCTGAACCTCTTCAGTCTCCTGTTCGGCTTCTCTGCCATCCTGGCCAACAGCCTCAGGTCTGCACAGCAGGTCGCGCTCAAAACAAACCAACAGGTAATCCTGTAAGTCGTTTGAAACGTGGGTATTGTGTTGTTGTTTTTTTGTATCGTCCTATCAATCAACACCCCAAACACAATGCTAACCTGAAAAATCTTGTTTCCATCCCTGCTTTGATATACCGAATGAGAAGAAACCCTTCCTCATCTGTCCTGCGTTCCCTCCCTTCACGCATCCTCCTCCCCAGCGCGTTGGTTCGCACGTTGCAAGGGGCAGCTCCATAGCGTTCACCGTGCAGTGTTGCCTGGCGTCGCTCTACATACTGTTCCTGTCGCTGAGAGGCCTGCGCCGCTACAGTCCGCCGCAGTTTCAGGCGTACAGCCGCCTCAAACAGGTAGATATAGGAACACACACACACCTACACACACACACACACACACACAAAGGGATGCGCTTTTTTCAGGAATCCTGCAGAGTTGGCGTGGGGATGACAGGTGATGACAGTTTTCCCCTAAATCAGCGTGGTATTCAGTCCGGATTAATTAATGGGATCTGACGGTTTCTGTTCTTTCCTGCACAGGATCCAGAGGAAACCAACGGGGCACTACTGGAACAAATGGAATTCAATCAGTGAAAAAACGCCGTCCTGTCAACTCGGTTACTGTTGTTGATCATAGTTCTTTACGGTTGGTGAACCAACAGTGTTTGTGTGGTTGAGTAAATTTAAACCTTTTTGAAAACGCAAAGGAGATGCAACACTGAATTTCACAATATTTCAAACACTGTTGGATGTGGAATAGCAAAGTTTGAACCGGCAAAAAATAAATAAAGAGCATGTTGAGACAAATGATGGTAAACAAAGTACACAGAGTTGACTTGTTAAACATTACATATACATGTTTTTAAAGCAGTCTGTTCTGGTCCATTTAGCTGCTCTGAGGTCGACACTAGAGAGCAGCATTTCAGAGGATTTGTCATGTTGTTCAATTTGATCCACAAATGAGGTCACTCTGTGCAGGAAGAAGCCGAGACGTGAGACATGAGACTTCTTGGTCAGAGACGTGTAATGAGGGGAAGAGGACCTACCCTAAGCTGCAATGATTTCACTGAAAATGTTCTGACCACACCTGGTCTCAAGGGAATTCACCTTTTTAAATGTTAATGGTCAGTTTTAGTTCGCACAGAACTCTTCTTACTTCTCCAACAGATCTTAACTTCCGCGTTTGCACATTCATGTCCCCAAACGGATTTAAAAGAGTGAACAAAATGTAATAATGTGGGAAAAAAAAGTCTTCACTTTTATGGTCTAAAACTCACAACGGTCCTCCCAGAGATAGAGGAGTACATGGAGTTCCGAAAAGGATTTATTTAGGGACATAAATCAAGGCCATATACTACTCCTATAGTAAGCTCACACACACAAGAACACTAACAGACGCACAAGAGTGAAAAAAAAGATCACAGAGGAGCTAGTTTCTCACGGCATGTCGGGGTAACAGCTTCCAGCTGTTGCCTTGTTGGAAGAGCTGCTATGGGAACTCAGAGTACAAAGAGGAACATGCTATTAATTATTAAAACGACACAGAAGGAGGGTAAAAAAAACAAAAAACGGATGACGAATTTGGGTGTCTTCAGACACTGACCAGCGATTCCTGTGATAGAAACCACTTGTGTTAAAGTATCCAAACTACTGCGTGTGTTTGTTAGTGGTGTTTGAAGCTGGTATTCGATTATATGGATATGTTGAGCTGCTCAAACCATCCGTTTGTCCAGATGTCCGTATCTCCCGCTACGACACTTGAACGGATCCATGTTGCATTTACACAGAGAGCGATTGTTCAGTGAGATCAGAAATTCCGGCCATGTGACATGCAAATCTAAAGAAATAAAATGCGTGAAATAAAAGCCTGTCCAGATGGGTTTGTGCAGCTGTTTGATCTTGAGGTTTGGTGAGGAGTAATATATTTTATCTTTAGAGCGTTTCTTCCTTGGGACCCCTCAGGATGTCCTTCTTCTCCATTCTCAAAGGCCAAAGAGGGAAGTGACTGAGGCTGCTGACAAGGGGAAGTGGTGACTACATGAGGGGATCCCCTTTGATAGGTCAGATGCTTTCAGCAGAATTGCCTGGAAGGATTCAATCCGACCCACCTGGAAGCGAGTGAATAACTAAATATCTTCTTGTTTTTCTTCAAAAATGAAAGCAAACCACAGATGAAGGCGTAATCTTGAGAACATTCATCAATAATTTATTTTTCTTACTCTCAATAACTGACACCGCTTCTCATCTTGAAAATTCAATTTCCAACAACACAGTTTTGAAAAATGTAAAGTTACTATACAAATTTTAATAGAAAAAAGAATAAATTAACTGTGGAATTCAGTAATTTTTCTTGATAAATTCCACATTTTTTCTACAACACCTTTAATGTATTGTTACAGTTGAACAGAACTGATAAAATCAAGTTACATGCTCTATTGTCTGGTTGGGGGAAGTGTCTTCTACAATTAAACTGTCTGTTAAAATAAGCTTCATTCTGGTAAATAAATCTATTGATAACAATGAAGATGTCTAGATCCTACATGACAAAGCAGTAACTGGACATTTTGTAGCACCTGAATGCACGGTTACAGAACAAAAAAACCCCAAACAATACTGTTCTTATAAAATGGAACATTGAAAAAACAATGAATGTGAATGTTAAAAACCCCACAAAATCCTACAGTGCCCCTCCCTACATACAGGAAACGACTGATAATAGAGTAAGTTCATTTCTCTTGGGAGAATTACAAAAAAGTCTCATCTATGAAGCACAGAAAATGGTGTGTTTGGAGCAACAGAGGGAGGAGACGTCACACTTCACATTGGACTCAGAGATCACCACAAGGTTGAAAAGGGTCACGCGATGGAGCAACATGTGCTAATGTTACCGTATAGAAGACGGGCGCTGAACGTCTTTGGGTTATTTTTTTCTTCCTTTTCAGTGGCAGGACATGCACGGGATTGTGTTTTAGCACACAAACAGTGGACGGAGTGAGCAGAGCAGGATCAAGCTTGCTCTCTAATAAAAGGTAACCAGGGAGAGCTGGTTCCAATCACGGGGCGAAAAGCTGATCAAATCTGACCAGGAAGGGGGCGGGCAACTCTTGGAGAACCAACCATGCGGGGAGTGGACAGAACTTTCCTATTTAAATAGTCTAAAGTGGCAGATTACAACAAGTGGTGTGAGTGCATAAAAGGAAAAAGAACATTATGAATGTGAATGTTAGAACATTATGAAGGTGGGATGCACAGGGTTCCTCCCATACAAAAAAAAACACACGCTGCACCGTTTACAGTCAACAGTCTTAGTGAATTACCAACAATTAGGATATTTTGGAAAAGCAAAAAAAACAAACAATATTTATTGACTGGAAAAGATGAGAGAAAACTATTTAGATACTAACTAACATGCGAGTTCTACTCCCTTCCTACAAAACCAGGTGTGCTTATCTAACTCTGATCTGAATGTCTGATTGTTGACTGGGTTGTGAGGGAACATTACTCTCTCCATTCGAGAGAGTTAAAGAACCGTTTACTTCAGCTCCGGCTATGGCTTCACTGCTGCCCTGGCAGCGGGGATTAAATGTTGTCGAACCAAAAAATTAATTGATGTCCTCGTAGTAATAAAAGAGCACTTTCATGTAATACTTTGTTCTGGCTTTTCCGCCTCTCTTATGCCCTTTTAGACGACTCTAAAAGTTGTGTAGTTACTTTGACATAGTTGGAGTGGAAAATTACAATTCACTAATTGTAGGTCCAGCCCTCGTATGTTGTGCTTTTGTTGTACAGACGTTGCACAATGGCTAAAGACAGTGGGGCCTTTTCTGTTTGCAGCTTGAATATGGGAGGGTGGGGGCTCTTCGAGTGCTGTGTTACAGTACAAATATAAAGCACCAACATGTTTGGCACTTTTGTAATTTTTGTGTGTCCACAGTGTGTGTTGTGGCTTCCAGTATGCGTGTCTTAGTTGTGATTCGGGTTCACGCTGTGTCTTCGGTCGCTCCCGTCACGAAGAAGAAATGGACAGAAAGACGGACAGACAGATGCCCCACGTAGTGACAGGAGCCGCTATGGAAACAAGACCTCCAGAGAGGAACAGACACTTGTGATAGAAAAGATGATGCAGAGATTTATCATCAAACAGCCTCAGTATCCCCACAAGCAACTGCCAAAAATCATCTACTTCCTGGGGTGAAAAACGACAAATGTTAAAACGGCAGAATCTGAATATCTTGTTTGTACACCAAAACTACAGCCCAGATGAAATGACGGCGTCAATAAAAAAAAAGAAGTCAAAGGAAAAAATCATTGATTAACGCCGAGCCCAATAACCCCGCCTCCCGATTCACTGATGACACACCAAGGGAATCTTTTACTCAGACCGTTGCACGGCTGAGAATGCCGCTGAATGCCTGCTTTAATTCCCCGTAGACTCAAAGCAGTTCATATTGTACAATATCTGTTATTGCTATTGTCCTTGTCAATATACCAGAGTCCCATAAATATCAGGAGGGTTCCCGGTATTGTCGCTGTGGTGACTGTATGGCACCAGCCCACGGGCCGGGGTGCGACCGGGCGATCCAGTAAGTTGTCTTTGGTTGTGGGTTAAACGGAGAGGATGCAAATATGTCATTTAAAACTGATTTTTCTCAAAAGTCTGGGTTATCTTCTTTGATTATAAATATATTTCGAGGACAAATAAAGAAAAAAGACAATCAACATTAATGGAATAATGACACCCAACACCTGGAGATGGGCCTGGAGATTTTTTAGAACTGGTGGCTCAAATCCAGCAGGTGTCCTCAGATTGGGCGGCAGTGCACTGGTCGGGTCAGCGGACAGTGTCGTGTTGAATTTTGTTGTTTGCTTGATGTTTTTAAACGCCGTTCTCCCTCCCTGCCCCCCCGTTGCTAGCGTACACTCTCTGCGAGGGAGTGTGACCAACGGGCTCCGTGGTGCTGTAGGGCAACAAGTTCAACAGCTGAGGTGGCACTTCTCAGTCTGTCTCGGCGAGCACGTCCCACTCCAGCTGAGCTGTGACGGGGGGGGGGGGGGGGGGCGTGATGAAGAGGTGGTGAATGGAGGCGGGGCTCATGTCAGGTGCGCTCAGGGCGGAACGGTTGTTGGGCCTTCAGGATGAGGTTGTTGGTTGTCGATGGGCCGTGGTGAGGGACAGTGGAGAGGCAGTAGGACAGGGCGATGGGACCTGCGGGAAGGTCTCAGACCAGGGTTCCAGGTTTGGCCTTATCACGTCCGTACCACTGCACATCGGCCAGCTCTGAACACAACGGGCTGCTGAGGAAACAGCTGTCACTGAAAGACCTGCAGGGGGAAGACACGGACCAGGGTCAAAACAGAGCCCATCAACCATGGTTTCAAGCTTTTGTCTCCCTTTGAAAAATGTTCAACGTTACACACTTACAGTGTAAGTATTTATCTAGGTAAATCTGGTCAGGAATTAGCCACAGCGTCGGACCGCAGAGCAGAGCACATGCAGAGATCAGATACAGATGCAGCCAAAGAAGGAGAACAAGACACAGATACCGCCTGTCAAAAGAGCAAGAAATTGTCCACCTTCCCTTTTGTCATCACCCCACGTATGTTGATAAAAGCCAGCGGTAATGTCACATAAGTGACGTGAGTCTAATACTTTTAGAGGTGTGCAATGACAGATTTCTATAAATTGAATGATTTTAGCTCCGCTAAAATCCTGCAAGGTGATTTTCCCTCTGCTATGCTGCTGCTGTGCCTCTCGAACAGTAAGACCAGCGAGACCACAGACGGTACCTCTATGCATCAGAGCTGGGCTGAGACTGACAGACGTCCTCAGTAGGAGAGCTGTCTGCTGTGCTTCTAAAACCAGGAGAGAGGACAACACACACACACACACACACACACACACACACACACACACACACACACACACATAAGGAAAGGAGGGTTAGTGCAGACAGAGGGAGACGAGAAAGAAACGACAAATATTAGGTAATAAAAAGATTGGTTATCGGAGGAAGTGAAAGATGAGTGAAGAAAAAGGAACAGAGACGAAGCGAGTGAATCAATAAACAGCAGAATATGATGAAAGGTTGAAAGTGAGTGACGAGAGACGAGGAAGGTGTAAAAATAGATGTTAAGCCCAAATCACATGAAAACCATTGCTGAGGATGAGGTCAGCTGTGTAAAACAATATCAGATGACGGATGAAAACAAAGCTTTTGAGGATGTTAGAGTGACATTTGGATAAAGATGGATAAATGGAAGCTGAGTCGCCAAGATTCGGTTTGCCCCTAAAATAAAGTAAATAAATAACTTCTTCAAACATCTCGTGCAGCCGGCCCGCTGCTGGTTGTGCGAGTGTGTCGCTCCGTCTCTTACCCACTCTGCCAGTTGAGGATGTGCTGTGGGCTGCAGGGGGGCGTTGGCGTGGCTGTGTGCTCGCTGCAGGGCGTCACACTCCTCTGGCTGTGAGGGGACGCAGCTGTGGGGGGCGAACGAACAGTTAGTCGTGCTAAATGTAGCACAAAGAGACGGATACGCGGACACAGAGCAAACACACATGCATGGAGGCTGAAGTGAGACGAGCCCCGGAGGAATTTCAACCGTGTTTCACACAACCTTTTGGCCCGGGGGTCAGAGTTTAGGTGAGTCACATTATCAACTGCAGCAGGGCCTTGTTAGCGCAGTAGGCAACGCGTCAGTCTCATAATCTGAAGTTCGTGAGTTCAATCCTCACATGGGGCATGATGACTTTTGTCCACGGAAATGAGTAATACAAACTGTTGCTTTATAAATCACAATGTACACAATCAAGATTTCCATACACTCGCAGGGTGTCCACATTTCCCATAGAGTTTGTTCTTTATATTTATAGAATCTTAAACCATTGCTAATTCCCCAATTTGCACAAAAGTAAAGAAACAGACTTTTCTATGTTTGAATCTAGTTGTTACAGTGAGATACTAATGATGACGTATTGATACATTTTCATTAAAGTATAAGAAAAGTGAGGCTACCAACAATATGAGAATGAGGGTTTGAATGTTATGTTGTATTCGCTACCTCTTAAAAACACATGACGATACTTTTCATGCATATGAGAAATATGCATAAAGGTTCTATTGTGAATAAATGAAAATGACCAACCTGGTGAGCACTTGGCGAGGGTCCCTACTCTACTTCCTCGGCTGTGTCCCAGAGTGCCTTGCTGTGACCCCGTCTCGGAGGAAGTGGATCCCGAGTGGGAGTGACTCCTCTCCTTCAGGCTCCCTGAGGACCTCTGGTACCAGCACCGCAGCTCTTCAGACACCGCTGCCCTCCCCCCGCCTCCGCTTCCAGCACCCTCTCGCCCCAACGACGGAGTCCTTACGATCTGAGAGCGGGAAGGCGTGAGTCGGCCGCTCCCTTCTCCTCCCGCCTCTCCCCCCCACGCCTCCTTGTACAGCCCCCCGGCCGTGTAGGAGCTGGAGGTCTTGAACTGGGCCTTGACGCTGTAGTGGCCCTCCTGATCGCTCTCCAAGCTGCGAACCACCACGGGGTTCGGGCTGCCCTCCACGTACAGCGGGTACTCCTTGATGCGGTACTGGGAGGAGGGCTGGCTCTGGCTGTGGAGGTAGACCCCGTGGTGTCCCCCACCCACCCCTCCTCCGCTCGAGCCTCCACCCGAACCGTTCTTAGCTGCCAGGTTTGGCATGGAGCCGGAATTAGAGGAACCCAACTGACCCGCTGACCTGGAGAGAGAACAAAGGAAACCAAACCTCACTAAAAATGTTTTCAAATATATAGTGTATAGTACATATTAACCCAAAAAGAATTACGTATGAACCCTTACCGGCGCCTTTGCCTCTGTCTCTGCCTGGCTTTGGAGGGCGAGTCCTCTCCTAGGGTGGAGTAGTTGGGGTTGCTGTTGGGGGGTCCGCCAGAAGGGTAGTAATGCTCTGAGCTGCTTTGGCTGGTGCAGGAGGAGCAGTCGTCTAGTGGGTCGGAGCCATTGGAGTTGCGTCCCGGCACCAGGAAAAAGTCAGAGCTGCCGAGCGTGCCCAGGGTGTGCAGGAGTGCGTCAGGGTCGGGCGCCAACAGTTTGCGCTGGGACTCAAGGCTTGAGCTGCGGTTCCTAAAGTGCTGAGCGAGACTGTGCAGACGTGTGGGACTGATGTCCACCGACCTGTGGGGTGCAGCAACACGGAAAGGTTGAATATGAAGGACAGGCTGGAACGGAGCTACGGAATAATGTGAATTTAATAATTAAGAACCAAGGACGGGAGCCCTGTGACCCTGTACTCCAGTACGCACATTAGCCAGATGTGGGAGCTTACCACCTATTAGAGCGCAATATCGGTCTCAAAAAAGCAGTAAACCGCTGAAGGTGTAAGGACTGACCTAGTAGAGTGTACGTAGTGTGGGTTCCTGGTCTTCAGGTCGGGGGTGGAGGGCATGCTGGAGTTCCAGTGAGGGAGGTTCCTGATGGGGCTGCTCTGCAGAGAGTTACTACCCTCTGCGTCTGCACTGCCAGAGCTCGTGAAACGCCTGTGACTTGACAAAGAGGCAACGGAAATCAATGCAAATAATAATAACAATTTTATTTCTTTCACATAGGCAGCCTGTGTTTGATGGGCTCTATTGAAGTTGTTGTCAACAAACATTTGAGGCATCTGAATGTCAAAACTATTTGTTTTTCTAGTTCCGTCCACATTACTTGTATTAATTAAATTTGTGATGACTAAAAATATCTTAAATAAACTTGTGGTTTATTTATTAATACACAGTTGCTCAATACTGATGCTATTTAAGATAAAAATCCCTCATACCTTGAATGAGAGGAGCGTTTTTTTACTTTTTCGTAGGGCTCATCCAGTGACGATTCACTCCAGATCTTGGGTTTGATGGGTGACTTATCGTAGTCGGGCCGTGGATAGTGCAGGTGTCGCAGGCCATCTAGGGACTGAGGTGGTGGGGGCCGACTGAGTGATGGTGGTCGAGGAGGGAGGCCCCTGTGAGGCGATGCTACTGGAGAAAAGGTGGGGGATCCTGTAACATGTGGATCATCTGAAATAAGAGTTCAGATTGAATTACGTTTCATAAAAAACCCCGTTATTGAATCATAATGTGAAAGATAGACTCACCATCATCCAAGACCAGTGCGTCAGACAATGAACTATCTTCAGAACCAATATTGGCCTCTGTAGGACAGAGAAAGAAATAGCAGATGTCAAAGATTGTGCAATTGCTAGATGAAAAAACTGAACTGAAGCCTCACGGCCTAAACAATCGTTGATATATCTGAAAGCAACAACGCTGGAACTTCTCAGCTCCACTGCCTTTTATCCCATTCCCCTAAACAGTACATGAGAAGAACACAGCTCCGCGTCGCGGCGAACTACACCATATCCATGTTACAATCTAATTTCCCCGTAGTGAATAGGATATACATTAGTACCCTCTATGATAAGTGAAGCCCTCTGCGTAGGCATCTTGCCAGAGCGGACCCGGTGCTCATTGATAGAGTTCTCAATTTCCTGGAGCTTCTTCAGCGTGTTCAGATAAGAAGTCTTCCTCTGTTTCTTCAGCTTCTTACTGCTCATGTGAGGATCGCTGGCCAGGCGCCTGGCTGCCTCTGTAATCTGGGACTGAATGGCAAACTCCCCCTCCAAGCGCTCCAGTTCCTCCTCCTGGGAGGAGCACAAGCACAGGGGCAAACTCTTGAGTAACACAAAGATAGCGGATCCTCAGTCTTAACAGTTTTAGCAACGAAATCACGGCACAATCCCAAAACAACAAGGCTTAGATCGCAGACACATAGTTAGACTGAAACCCGGCCATACACACACACACACACACACACACACACACACACAAAGCCGTGCCAGAGAAAACACGCAGCGGAGATCATTTATCTCCGCTGACTTTTCTCACCACTTGTCTGTTACTCAAAATTCTCTTTTGAGACACACTGTCCCCTAATAATAACACCTTTCCATCACCCCCCCCCTCCTCCTCCACCACACGGCCCCGAGATTCGTGGAGTGGAGATGAACCAAGTTCAAGAGCATTCTGTCAAAGTGTTGCAAATATGTCTCCTCCAAAATACATATTTGGGGTAGTACACTTGAAATGATAAAGTATTATAGAAACATTTAAACTCTGTGTGTGTGTGTGTGTGTGTGTGTGTGTGTGTGTGTGTGTGTGTGTGTGTGTGTGTGTGTGTTAGTTATTGTGAATTAAGAGACATCTTTCTGCTTGCGAGGCAGTTTTGTAATATTGTGTTACTGGATTATTTTCAAAGCATGCGACCTCAGCAACACACACCCACATGCCTGCATACATAAAGGAGCGCACACAATCCTACTATCACCACTTCCTGTGGCGAGAATGCTGCTATTTTTAAAAGTTCCGCTGCTCTGGAAAATTGACCCGTGGCACAAAAAGACAAAGATGCAGGTCCGAGACGTCTCAGACTGTGGCCTTTTGGTGTTCTCTGTTTCCTTAGCATACTAGAAAATGAAGTACATTATATTAATCATAATCCTGACCACGAGGTTAACTCTGGCTTTAAAGTAATGTAATCCTGAACAGCCCGTAATCTTCAACGTGTAACTTGAAGAGCTTTTAAACACTGGTTTGATCTGTGAAGCCCGTACTGCGTATTTAACGTTACAGCCGGGTTCAAGGGAGATCAACGCGCTTAAATACTTAAATGCGGCAGCGCAGTGGCGGCAACAGGTGCTTGTGGTAATATGTGTTTGTCTTATACACTGACACTACTAGAGTGACCTAGGAGTTGAACAAGGAGTTGCAGCTTCACCTCTCCCTTAGGGTGGATTTTCTGCTCGTCCAGTTTGAAGGCAGTGCCGATCTTCCGCCTCACTGTGGGGGGCTCCTCTCCCGGATCCAGAGGGTACTCCTTAGGAAGCCTCCCTGTCAGCTCCTGCAATAGAGAACAAGGCAACAAATTGGAAGGGAAAACGTTTTTAAAAAGCACTCCGATGTCCAAAGTGTTTGTTCATACCGCCTCTCTGATGCAGATGCTCTTGAGTTCCTCCAGTCTCTTTTTAAGAGTTTCCTCCAGGGCGTCCTCCCGAGCCCTCAGTGCTGCAAGCATGTCCTTCTTGGCGGTCTGGGAGCTGTCCGATTCCTGAGAGCCTGCACGGTTCCAGTAAAACACATCACATGAGGGCAGGTGTCTGGACCATATATGTGTGTGTGTGTGTTATGGGGACCTCTCAGGCAGATTGTGAAGGTAGAAAATGTGTTTGCATGTTTGATGTTTACAGGAAAGTGAACGGAACATTTTGAGAAAGGGAACCAAGTTGTGAGTGTGGGTGTTTTGAGGAAGGGGCAGTTTAGGGCAAAGTCTATGACGCACAATCGAGTCTTGTTCGCAACATGGTCTGTTAAAACAACACATATGTTTCCCTCTGCAGCTCCCTCAATGGCTCTGTGGTCAAAGATAGCAACAAAACAAAAGAAACCACTGAAAAAAGCTGGGACAGAAAGAACCATTAAATGGCCCCTATTGTTGCAGGTTACACCATTTAAAAAAAGATCCGACCAGGAAGATGAACTTCATTCCAAACACATGCAGAACGAAGTGTTCTTCTTTATCGGGATAATTGATTTATTCAGAATACTCGGCTGCCTGGATTTAAAAGGGCGTTTTCCTTTCTTATTAAAATGTAGTTTATGTACAAAAGTTTGTACATTTCTGTCACACAAGTTACTTGTTCAACACGGATAAGCATTGTTTTAAAGACCACGGCAAAGACCTGTTGCCCTATTTCATTCCTGTATCCACTAAATTTAGAGGGTCAGGGGCCTGCGGGTGGAGGATGTGCCCGTGAGACGTGGAGCGTGGGTGTGGTGTTCCATACATACAGAAAGACACTGGGCGGGGTGTGCGTACAGTATGTGTGTGTGTGTGAATATTCAGTATGTAATCAGTGGCCTCTTTCTCGAAGCAGCTGTTTCTGTCACTCCAGCTGTCAACGAGACTCCCCCCTCACCGCCACACATGCAAACTGTTAGTGCACACATCAATATGTGTGCACTAACGTGCACACATATTGATGTTTCTCTCTCTGGCTTTTTCCTTCCAAGTACAATCACACGCGCACACACACACACACACACACACACACACACCCACACGCTGACCATTTACTGACCTGACGAGAGCAGGCTGCCGCTGCTGCCACTTATAATTTTGCCCTTGCTCCCCATGTTTGCTAGTTTGGAGGTCTTCAGAGTTCCTGTCTCCGTGAGGTCGATCGCAATCTCACTCAAACTCCGCGCTGCGTGGATCTTTGACTGGGGACACAAGAGTGGAAAGTTTCACATGGCTTCACAATTAAATCTCACTGGCCATGCTGGCTGAGTTTGCTGTATCTCATTTGGAACCATGTCTCTGGCCCGTGTGTGTGTGTGTGGTGGGCCTGCTGACCTTGCTCTGCTTGCGGTCCAGGTAGAACTGGTGCTGGCTGATGGCCATGGCCCAGATGGACTTGATGAGGGCGGGACAGGCGTACCACGTGTGCACCGCGATGCCACTGTGACCAAATGTCCTTCTGGTCACCGACGCCCTACAGTAGGAGCGGACACAAGGCCACCTTATATACACTGAGCACAAAAAAGGTGGCTGCTTATACACAACAGTGAAACTCCCGACTCGACAATTCCCCCACCGACAATGTTTTTTTTCGATTACTTCAACTACTTCTACGGCTATTAAGAGAAAAAATGAGCGGTTTGTTAGAGCAAAGCTGATGATGGATGTTTTTTGCAAAGCCAAACACGATGTTCACAGTTGTTTACGCATCCTTATTTAAACAGACAGCGGCAGCTCAGCAACTGACCAGCTCACCCTAATGACAGCTTCCTTTCAAGAAGAAAACACCACCGCTCTCAGTTTCACCCTGTGATAGAGAGATCTGCCTCTTTTTCTCTCCCTCCCTCCCTCCCTTCCTCTGTCTGTAGAATAACACTCCACATATATAGCCATGTTAAATAAACACAAGAGAGGTCGCTTCCTACGCAAAGCGGCTATCGCGCAGCCATCTATCTTTCCATGGCCACGTGTGAACGAGCGCATGTGTGTTTGTGCATGCACGCAGCCGCAGAGGTGTGTTAATAATCATCCCATCAATCTGTGTTAGGCTCCTCCGGGACATCCCAAATATCTCGCTCTACTGCCAAGACAAATGCTGCAACCATTACTTAATTTGATTCCCATCTCTCCTTTTCCGCACCGTAGTTTGAATGTTAACACATTAGCATTTGGCACAGCGGTAGTTTGTTAGTGGGAGCTTCTTGAAGGTGTCTGGAAGATGACTGAGGGAAAATTACATCAGTTCCGATTATTAGCGGTGGTATCATGCAATTCAACATTGTACCCTTAAATTTGAGTTATAAATGTACCTTCTTGGGTCATGAACTTCCACTGAAAACTTCTTCTCTCTGAAGTAGAGATTCTCCAACTGACGCCATTGGAACACCTGAGGTTCAGGAGAAACAGACGCTCTTCAGGGCTGCTCGCATAAAAATATGCTTCACATCAAATCCACACCGCTTCAGGCAAATCCTCTACTCTCTTTGGAGACTGCAACGGATAAGGAGGAAGAGGGGAGGAAATGGAAGAAGCTGACAAAGAGGAGGAGTTGGGAGCAGAGAAGGAGGTACAGGCAGAGGACCTAGACTGCGGCTCTCTGATCAGGTCCAGGCCAGGCGGCCGTGTCCACATCAGATCCCTCCGCTGGATGACCTCACTCTGGAGAGCGACAGCGTGAGAGGGAGGAGGCTTTCTTTCTTCTGCTCGGATTCTCTTTTTTTCTTTCTTTCCGTCCTCTTTATGAACCATCGGCTTCTCTTTAAATGGAGCCAAAGCCAGCTGGGCGAGAGAGTTTCCCCCCCAGACGTACTCCACGGCATGTGTGTGCGTCTGCAATCCTCCCAGAAGCAGGGGAACAGGACGTTATGAGTCGGCGGGTGTTCACCATCTGCAGGCATGTGTGTGTGTGTGTGTGTGCTGGTGGAGGGAAAGTGTGTAAAGTGCAGTTTCCTGCTCTCCTGTAGCTTTGCTAGGAGAGGGAGGGGGCGTTAATGTCTCCCCTCCTGCTGACCCCTCCTCCCTCCCTGAGGGACTACGCTTCCTGCTCTGGGCTATGTGGTTGGGTGCTGTGTGTGTGTGTGTGTGTGTGTGTGTGTATGTAACATGGGGTCAGGGGAGGGGTGATGAGGGGGGAAAGAACGTTTCTGTGGCCCCCAATAATTGAAATGCCCTTGCTTTGTTTAGTCGGACCTTTGTGCACACACACATTCACACAGAGTCTGTTCCTTGTTAGAAAAGACGTTGACGCCAGCATCGATCAGCCGGAGCTGACATACAAACACACACAAAGTACAACCGCAGACCAACAAACAGGAGAAAAGACGTGGAGGCCTCAGCTACGACAGGATGAGGGAGGAGTAGAGGAGAAAGGGAGCTGCGGGAGGAACAGGTCACAGAGCAGGAATTTCAACAGCCAGAGAAACAATGGATAGATGGGTGAGAGGGAGGAAAGGGGAGGAGTGGAAGAAATATGATGAAATTTTTTTTTTAACAGCCGCATGTAAATGCATAAATTCATGTGCTGCGATTAGTGTGTGTGTGTCTGCGAGCACCAAGAAAGAAAAGTGACGCCCTTATCAAAACAGTTGCTGTACCGTACATAAATAAATGAAGTGTGAAATGCTAATGTAGCATGGTGCTAAATATAGCGGGCGGGGTAGATAGTGGGTTATTCACTGTGCAAGTGTGTGTGTGTGTCTGTTGGCTACAGAGCAGTGGAGATAAGGCAGGTGTTTGTAATTGTGTTCAGGCACGAGACCACTAAAGCTGTGAGAAACTGCCGCGACTTTGGAAGTCAACTTTAAAGTTGTAGAAAAAGTTGTAGATGTGAGCCAATAGTGTTAAAAATATATCTGGGGTGTCAAATCAGTCACATGATCTTACAACAGGGTGAAATCAAATCCCCTTTAAGTTTTCAAGATAGACCTTTTTGTTCTGATTATGTGCCATTTCATAAAGTGGCACAGTTACATAACTCCATTGTATTAATGCAACCTTTGTAGTTTTTATGTCGAAAGTTCTTTGTTGAACTTAGTTAGAGCCGTGCTGTACTTCTGTTATCAGTGTGTGGCTGGTGGCTGTATACGTTCATGCGCTATAAATCCTCATCCTTTTGTCTGTAAAACAATCCCACACAATGGCACAAACACGCACCAGCAGAGGAAGGGACTGGCCACTACTCCTAAACAAGCTGGGCGTCCATGTGCACAGACCCACGTCTGTCTGCGCACCCGAGCAAAAAGCCACTATGGATGAAAAGGTCAGATCTGATAGAGAGAAAAGGTCTTTTCTTGGGGTGTTCTGCACTCCCGGGGGATTACAGGACAAGAATAGAAAATTCAAATAGCATATGTGAATTTTCATTTCCCCGAAACAGACGCGAAGCCTCAAAGACTATTGTTTCCTCCGTGGGTGGGGTCTGTTGTGCAGGGCTACATCCACTAGTTGTCATGGAGACGTCGACGCACTTCCTGTTGGAAAAAAACTGGTCAGACCCTGATGTGTGTGCCTATTTTCCTTACATGAAACACGGACAGAAGCTAAACTAAAGTCAGCGTGGAAAGGGATCTATATGCAGTTCAACGCGTGGGAGTTGCAGTTCCTTTAAAACACAGCTTTGTTTGATTGAACCTTCTGGCAGCTTCTTCACAGTGTTGCGAAAGATTTGCCGCGCTGGCCTCCATCCTTTAGGTGGTCAGTCAACACAAAGACCCCACGATGTCCGTCTGAATGAGTCAAAACGGGGCATAAGAACGGCGTGGTGCTCTGCGCATGTCTGCGTGTGGCCTGCGGCAAGCCGACGGGGGAAAACGTAACCAAGTAAATGTTGAGGCTGCGGTAGATGGTCTGCATTTAGAAAACAACAGGGATCTTCCCTCGTAAAAAGAAGGAACTTATTAAACACAATTGCCTCCACACAACTTAAAGTCACTTATTAATGAAAAAAAAAAGGCTGGTGTTGAAAACACGTTTTTTTTTACTGTGACCAAAGACGATAATTGGCCCGGAATGTCCGTAATAATTAGTGTTCTGCTTGAGTCACAGTACCAAAGAGCTGTGTGTTAGTGGTTAGTGGTACTGGATGAGTGACTCACCACGTCATCTGCTCTTCCTCCGGCTTTGCTGAATAACAATGGCTCTCGTTAATACCATAAGATACGGAGGGCTCCTAGTGACCTGCCTACGTGTCTCTGCCTATGAAACTTTGGAAAGTAGCACCACTCACCTGCTTTTCTCTGCCTGATTAGTGGGAAAAACCTCACTGGGCTCATTGGGATTTAGTCAGGCTTGTGATGTTGCGTTAACAAGACATGCAATGCACAAATCTCCTTTGGCTCAAGCCCCTTACACTGAGGTGAGGGGCCCCGCCTTACTCTCTCTCTCTCTCTATGAGGGTGAAGGAGGGGGTCAGGACTGAAGCTTAGCGGACCACAGTGACTGTTGCCATGGCTTCTGAGGTAAGAAAGGCTTTCACAGAGCACCTACTCGCTGCACCCATTGAATTGAAGGGGGGAGGAGGGGGGGTTGTTCATGGAAATATAAATACAAGCAGCAACGGATGCAAAGCATTCCAAGCCTGAATGTCTCCAGGCTGTCATGTTTGTACAGCATTGTTCGTGCCCCTCCCTAACACAATGTTCTGAAGAAGTAGGTGGCGAAAATGAAAAGATGATGGAAGCCATGCAGTCCGCGCTGACGCAGAAACCTTTTGCAACGTTGGAAGAAATGCCAGCTGAAGTTAACGCTCAATGGAACAGTGAACCGAAGAGATCATCTCACCTTTCTGGGTTTGACTTTGTCCTGGTGGTCGTACTGAAAGATGCCTTTGTAGCTCAGACCCAACCACCACGGGATCCCCTGCTTGTCCTAAAACACACACGAGAAGAATTACCTCGAGAAAGGTTGTGCGTGTGTTGGGATTGATGGAGAGAAAAGGAGAACACAAGTGGCTTCCAAAAGCCTGCAGTTCCACAGTGAACACGAATGTGTGTGTAGCGGGTGTGAAAATAAGGAAAGATTAGCAGTAGAGTAGTAAAAACTGTACCTTAACACCATAGTAATGTACTCCATATGTTGGCAAAGACTCCACAATGCTCATGTAACTGTGAGAAGCAGAAAGACAGACATGTCAGGGTTACACGTGTACTGCTCAGCTTCCATACAGTGAACACACACACACACTTACTTTACAATAGCTTGCCCTCTGGACTGCCCATTGAGCTTCTTGTAGTGCTCTATGACCCGGTCTTCACTGTGGGACAGTAAATAATGGACAAATATTAGGAATGGTAGAAACAAGAGATGTTTTTTCTGGACAAGCTGGAGTAGCTTCTCACCAGTAAGCGAGAGATGGGTGCTCCTTCAGCGCCTGGGTGGGCAGAGCAGGCAGCTTTTTCAGGTCCGACCTGGTTACGTCATTACTGTGAAGGAGAAACCACAAGAAATTATCAACACCACTTTTGCAGAACTATCGTTGGTCTGCTGTAGGTCTAATGGGCTAATGAGTCAAAAACTGAGGTAGCACTAAACCGTAGAAGAGCGCTTGAAAAGTAGTAACAGGTCTGTGCAAATATGAATATTCCAAGGAATTTCTTCAAAATGAAACATCATTGGTGTTCATTGGCCTAATGCTCTCCATTACAAAAACTGGACGTTGTTTGTCTCAGAACAGCTGCAGAGACACTCGGAGTAGGAAACAGGAGAGAAAAGACAGAAACAAAAACAGACAAACAAGATAAATAAAGACGGATAAAAAAGGGATTAAAATTGTGATGGAGGACAAGCCTGCTGCAAAGGCAGAGTAAACCAGAAGCGGGAGGTCTCAGTACCCCCACTCTGACACCCGAGCCTCTCTCCAGCCTCCACCAAGGCCTCGGAGGACTGAGGGAAGAACATGGCAACCTGTTCCATGGGGAGGAGGGAGAATGGAATGTCTCCAGAGTGTGTCACATTCCAGCCCTCCGCGGGATATTGTGTTTATTTATTCCTTTCACCGGCGGAAATGAGGTCAGACGTGGCGGCAGCTGTAGTCTGTTATCTGTGCTACGGCGAGCGGATGAAGTGGAATACTACACTACGGCCGCCGTCACACTCCGCTACAACTGAACTGGTACAACTGAGGAGTGGAACATGGCTCACAGGAACCCGCATAGGATTTAAAAGCTTAATAGCGACGCAGTTTAGCTGTGTGAAGTTTAGACACTGATACCTTCTTACGTGTTTCTGGTGGTATTTGCATTTATTACTTCGCAGGGGGGCGAACAGTATCTTAAATTGGGAGGAAGTCACTCCCAACACAGACCCTCTGTCATTCATCACACACACAGTATGTAAACACACACATGCACAAACACAAATACAATCCTTTGTAATGCTTTCTTCATGAATGGCAGTACAGTCTGAAATGAAGATGTAAATCGGTTCTCGCTGATGCACAAGGGAGCAGAGGAGCAGACAGACAAATGACATCACTTTGAATATTTATCCCCCTTAGGAATCGACTAGTTACTATTACTAGTTACTTATGAGCTTACCTGGTGAAATCTCCTTTAGCCTCCTGTGAAGCAGAAAGGGAAAAAGAGAAGTGAGCAAAGACAGTGAATACATAAATGGAAAAGAGAACCCAGTGATTATAAAACATGTGATTATGTTCTGTTTGCATTGGTGAAAGTCGGGTCTACTGTGCTGGAATCAGAGAGAAATACTAAACCATCTACAGTGAAACCTCTGAAGGCCTGCAGAGCAGATACCTGATACTGTGCATCTGCACCTGCATACAGAACACACACACACACACACACACAAACCACTCAGCTCAGTCTATGTGTAACGTGACCCCGCAGCATCACGGTTAACGGACTGACCAACTCTGAGAAAGGGATCGGAGAGAGAATAAGCTACGAATAAGTATAAGCTCTTCCCCTCTGTTATTCATTAGCACTGACTGCACAAAGAATTTAGCTGAGAGGCAAGAATTCTGCTACCAACAAAGACAGTTGAGTTTTTTTAGGATTTGTCACTGCAGATTACTGACGGTTTGATGACTGCATTAGATAATATGTGTTGAATAATAGGGAATTAAAATCATAAGACATTTTAGGGGAACACTTTCATTACCGGCTGCATGTGCTAGCGGCGAAAAACAGACATCCAGACAGACATCCACACGCACACACAATTGATCTTACTTGTAGGATAAAGGAAGCCAGTTCGAAGACAACATCACTGTCCACTTCAATGAGCTCCTGCAGGACAACGGAGAGGACAGGGGTCATGAATGACACATGCTCATACCGCTGGCAGCCAGTAGAGAAATAAAACACAAACTGTGCGGATGTAAATGGACGCGCCTGATCATCCTCCATTTACACAAGATGGGTGGCTGGTTCCTTTCATCTCCCGACAACTTCCCCTCTATTCTCCCGTCTCCCCTCTCTAATTTCACGACCTCTTCATGTGGACGGAGCGCAGAGATTAGAGGCAAACTGAGAGGGTTGGGGGTGTTAAGGTAGGAATTGATGCCCATTTTTGTTAAAAGTAAAGCAATGGAGAATCTTTAAGTAAACCATCGTTGGTGGTGTTTTTTTAGATTTTAGTGCACATCGCTCTCTATGTGTGTGTGTGTGTGTGTGTACATATACATGACATGTGTGTTGAGGGGGAGAAGGATACAGGTTAGTGGGCAGTGAGTAGTGGGTCAAGTATGCCAGGAATGTTCCCTTTACAAGCCACCATTTAATTGGTCGGGAGATCAGACGGCCAGGATGAAACACTAGACACAAACCCACCCTGAGTGCACCACCCAGCGAGGTTATTGTACTGTATGAGAATGTTTTTCACTTCTTATACAAAGACTGACAGCAGAATGTGACTATATATCCTGATCTACTTTTGAACTTCTGAGAACTTTCAACATGTTCTCTGTTTCTTTGCACTCTTCTTGTTTGCTCCTCTGGTCAGCGTTAAGCTGAAGTTCTTATTAGGGGGACGTGATGATCACTGGCTACCGGTGGCCGCCCGCATCCAGTTCAAAACATTGGTGCTCACGTACCATGCTGTGAATGGGTCCAGCTTACATCCAGGACATGGTCAAACCCTACATCCCAACCCGCACTCTCCGCTCTGCATCTGCAAAACTACTCGTCCCTCCCTCACTGAGAGCAAAACACTCGACTAGGTCTCGACTCTTTGCTGTCCTTGCGCCAAAATGGTGGAACGAGCTCTCTGAAGACACCAGGACCGCAGAGAGCCTTCACATCTTCCGCCGCAAACTAAAGACACACCTCTTCAGACTCTACCTCGACTAAAGACTAACAAATTGTAGCACTTAAATTGTACTTGTAACGTCACTCATCTATAGCAAATTGTAAATTGGCTTATTTGAGGAAATTTCACTTTCTTGTTTCTTGTTCTCCTGAGTTTGTACCCTATGGTTGAATGCACTTATTGTACGTCGCTTTGGATAAAAGCGTCCGCTAAATGACATGTAATGTAATGTAATGTAATGAATGAGCGGAGAGGGATGTGATATCTTCTTCAAGGACGTTGTTAAGTGAGCCACCGGAGGGGCTTCGGTTTGTGGGACAGTCTCTACCAGACTGCTTGGTTTCATAGCCTCTGTCTTCCTGTTGGGACACTACAGTGTGACCGTTTCTCGCAAGTGGCATCTAGTCAACTAGGCTGGACGGAATTTAGGTTTGCTTTACTATATATATATATATATATATATATATATATATATATATATATATATATATATATATATATTACATTACAGGTCATTTAGCAGACGTTTTATCCAAAGCGACTTACATTACACTTTAAACCCATGGCTTTTTCACATTTTTGCCCGGGGAGCAATTAGGGGTTAGGTGTCTTGCTCAGGGACACTTCGACATGGAACATGGGGCAGCCTGGAATCGAACCAACCAACTGGGAACCACCAACCTTGTGCTTCCCAGCACACCTTCTCTAACCCCTGCGCCACAACGTGTATATAAAGCACTACACAGAACACGCATCCCACAAACTTTTAACAGATTCAAAACAGATTCAGATTCAAAACGCCAACGCACTGTATATAACTGTACTGTATATAACTCTAGGATTTGGCTCGGATGAAGCTCAGCACCAGGGTCAACAGCACTACTCTCTGACAGTCTCTCAGTTTGCTCTGGAGCTTCGGCTGGCTCGCTGTTTTACTTCAGGCCTCACACGCCCTCTTCTGGTCACACGAGAGAACTGCCGTGCACTGATGTCATGGCACGTTCCGTACACTAAGGTTTATGACAGTAGAATTACTATATATAATGGGGACAAAATAATGAGTTTACCTTGTAGATGATTGATTTGGCATTAAGGAAAAACAGCTCAATAGTGGCATTGTCCTTCAGGTAAGATATTCTCTCTATGTAGAACCTGAAGAGAGCAGGAGAACACATTTCAATCAGCAAAGGGAACAAATACATTAGTTGACCTTAAGTTCTATGAAAAACAGTGAGGTTTATCGTGTATATGTTCATCATGACTACAAATAATACACTGATAATACAGGAGAATGAGTCAAACATGAAGGACAGATATAATGCAATGACCAAAGTAACCAGAGGGGGGCGCTTCATACCAAAAACTGACCCCAAAAACCAACATCCTTTCACTTCCCATTAAACCAATTCCCTCTCTCACCAGGGTGGCTGGCAATGATCCATTATTAGTTTGTTAGTGTGAGCACATTCCACAACATGAATACACACACACACACACACACACAGATTGAATGTGCATGTGATGCACTTCACACATGGTTTGCCTCCCTGCATCATCAGCAGTGCGTCGTGATTCCACATGCACAATCCTTATACACTGGAGAGAGAAGCACAGTAACCCACTTCTGGCAGAGCGTCGAGGAGGAAGCGAACATAATAATGCCTCCTAAATTTAGCACATGAATGCATGCAGAGTGGGAGGGGAGCTACCGATGGTGCGCTAGGAGGCTGCTCATCGTTAGCTCTTCTCTGTGGGAAATGTACATCAAAACATGAACACATTAAAAACCACAAGTGAGTGTGTAAAATGTGACCTGAGCACATATTCCTGGGAATACACGTGACTAAATGTGTTGATTTGTGTGCTTGTAGGGATTGGAGGAGGATCAATATCGGAGTGGCGTAAATCGCGTTACCAGTTGAGCCGCAGAAGGGAAGGAGAGGAGCCTTGTCGATATTCAGTGGGAACATTTAATTAAAGCCACAGCGTTGATGAGCCAGCACAGCAGCAAGCGTGCAAAAAGGCACCCACTGAATCAGCAGTAGGTGGGCATCTGCTTAGCATTCATTCGGGAACGCAAGCATAACACAAACACCACATACGCATGCAAATACATGACGTGCATGCACCTGCACATGAAGACACGCGCCCACACACACAAATAAAGATTGAGCTCATGACAAAAATTTCAAATTGATCATAGATTCAGGCTTGACATTTGGGCTGACAGTTGTTCCATTATATTCCTGAATCTGCACACGTGTGTACGGGCGTCCTAGAAATAGGGTTGGATGTGCGCGTGTGTGTGTGTGTGTGTAGGCAGAGGTGTGACATTTGGATAGATTGAGGTTAGCAATTAGACTGATCTGCGAGCAAAAAACGGTGTCAAAGTTCACAGTCACCGCACACCCAACATTACATCCTCAAACCCCACCCAGAGCATTGCGTGACTCCGGATAAAGAGCAATGCTCACCGCAACGGTCAACGTAACTTGAGAATAGTGCGTTTGGCCAATATGCCAGTAAAACACCAATCTGCACATCTTTTGAATGTATCACAATAACACAGTGTTTATTAAAAGCGGGTGAACAATAAGTCTATTTGCTAACCATCAGATTTTGCTTTACAGTCACCGCTTTGTGTCATGACGGGTTGTGTCATGAATGTCGCCCTGGAAGTGAGTACTCGATGACATTGTGTAGCGGCGTTAATGTGTGTCAACGTTGCTATGTTTGCTCCTAACTGAGGCTTAGTCCCTCGGGTACATTTGACATCATAGAGATGTGTGAGGGCCGCAGCACAACAGTGGTCCCAAAACAAAGCCCTGGCTTTCCATTCCGGGCTCTAATTGAATGTGTGGGTGTGTGTATTTGTGTGTGTGTGTGTGTGACAGAGTGCTAGTATTTTGGGAGAGTGGTTTGAGAAGTACAGTGCATTTTGCTTTGAGATTAAAAAAAGATTGGAAAAATGTATTTTCAGGTCTGGTGTCTTTTGTCTTTCTTTTTCAATAGCCTACTGAAAACACAACAGCCACATGCACACAGACCCACAAACACACACATGATATCAGTGGGGCCATTGTGCGAGCGGTGCAAAGGGGCTGGGAGAGCAGCGTGGGATTGGAGGGGTATTTCATAACCCTGCCTACAGGTCATAGAAGACTCGGCGATGACGCCGCCACAGCAAGGAGAGCTCGCCGCGGCGCACCTGCCTCTTCATTGGTTGAGTCCAGCACCGGAAGGGGTTAGGAGTTAGAAAAAATGACAGGGCTCGAGTTTGTAGGGGATTGAGCCGTATTTGCATGCAGCAAATACTGAGGCAGGAGCTAATCACCAGGGTCGGAGTCATTTCATAGCGTGAGCATAAACACACACACACACGTCTTTCTGTCTCTCTTCCACGCACACACACTCACAAGCCGTACACTGTGTGAGTAAGCAAGGTGACTCATTTAATGAAGAAGGACTCACCTGACACAGAAGTAGAGGACAATAGGACCAGACTTCTTGGGGAACTCGTGTTCCAACACCCTTCGGTCCAACTGAAGCCAACTAAAATGGCCCCTGGTAACACAAAACCACACAGAAATTAACTTAAGCACTGAAACGTCATATAAAAGCGCTGAACCTTTTTTATCGAGCCTCCCTGCTTTTCTTTTCCTGTTACAACTTCTCCCCCCCCCTCCTTTCTCTTCCCCTCTCTTCTCTTCTCTCTATCTCCCTCAAACAGAAGGGACAAACTGCAGAGACAGCTTGTCACCCTGGTAACCCTGCATGGTCTTCCGAGCAACGGAACATCCCTCAAATGCGGTTTGGCTTTTGTTAAGTAGTTGAAAACTTAAACCATGCTTAAAACTCACAACTCACAATTTCAGCATTTCTCACTACAACTATTTGTATGGTCATTGACAGTCGGAGATCCATAGGTTTTATAAGATTAAAGAAACACACAAACACGTTTGCATACTCCTTCACTTTACTGTGTTTACGAGCACAACTAGTGGCATCTGAACTTTGATACCAACTTTGCCTGATGTCGGCTTGTGGCACAATTTGTCCCACGTATTGTTACAGAAACTAAGTGCACAAACAGTTTGCTATGACGTTATGGGGAAGTACTGAAAAACCCAATCCAATACACCATGCACTGTAACTGCATTGCGGTTTCAAAGTGACTTACGTTTCGTCTGTGTATGCAATTCCAAAGTACTCCTTCTCCTTGAGGTTGAAGTGAGAGGCCACAAGGTCCAGCAAGTCCTTCGCCATCAATTTGGGCTGCAGGGGCACAGAAACATTAGTATCGCTCTGCTTGTGTTTTATTCATAAACTTGTGTAACAGTTCCCGCTGACGTTTAATTAGAGCAAGTACATCTGTCTGTACAGTGTTATGTTAATGTTGTCTATCGGCCATTGATCTGCTGCAATGACTAAGCATTCTGACAAACAACGAGGGAAAGAGCAAGAGAGGAGGAGACAAATGAGAAAGAGAAAGTGCAAGAAAGATGGATGTAGTGAGTGGATGCTGCTGACGGTGCAGATACCGCTGCCCTTCCACCCCCTCCCTCCATCCCTCTTTCCTTCCTTCCTTCCTTTTCCGCTCGTCTAACCCAAACCTGCAGAGTCATGGCTCTGGGCCCAACCACTGTATTATATGCAGGGGACGGCAGCTAGCACAAGAGCTTTCTGTCTAGTTCGTACTGTGGAATACTGTCCAAGCTGTACATGACGATCACCTGCAACAGAATCAGATCAACAGAAACTCGCAGCATGCAGAGCATCTTCAAGCCAGGCAGCAGCCAGGGACTGCTGGGGCTGGTTTGAGTCATCCTGAGCAACAGCGGGCTCCACCCTGAGGTTAACCGTGGGCGTCGCCTCTCTGCCCACGTTTTCATTGCACACGTGCACCCATCTGCACGTACGTGTTCACTTAAAAGCCCGATGCAGGACATCCAAGGATCCCGCTTATAAACAGGAGGGGACGCACGTGCTGTGTGCCCATGAGGGATACACACACACACACACACACACACACACACACACACACACACACACACACACAGCCACATGTGTCATAGTGCGCATGCTGAGGTCCTGTATTACCTACTCAGTGTACATCTACAACTTCAGTAACAGAAGCTACTGAGAGCTATTTAAAGACAAGAAGGTGATGTCATGCACACAGCCGGCACACACGCAGACACACACGCACAATATCACAAACACACACGTACACAACTCCAATGACCTAGATCTCCTATAAGCACGGCGGCTACAGTGATCCTGCTACAGAAAAGGGCTCTGGAGAGAATAGTGAGGGATGCTAACATGTAGGCCGATTCTACCTCAAGAGTCCTTTGCATCCTATTTCTGTTTCAGAAAAGGTGTCTAAGGAGACCAACAAAACCCTGCAGCATTGAGACATGGGACCCACACTACTACATAAGGTAATATGGACGTTACCATTAAAAGTTTCAATCGCATCTTTGCATTAAGAATGATACACTTACTTGTACATTGTGTATTCATACTATGTTTGTTGTGTAGTTCAGGTATTTATATCTCTGACCTTAACTATGTATAAGTCCTGAAATCTCAGACTGAGAAAACGGTCTCATTTGTAAAATGCTACAATGTGCTCTTTCGTTTCTCCGAATGGTCGAGCAGCACAAGATCCGTTTGAAGTGCTTGAAAACGTTTTAGACGTGCAAATTGCCGGCCTGGAAGCAGGCTGTCGTTACAGCATTAGCAGTAATACGTGTTTTGGACGTGTCTGAGACACATACAGCCGTGGTCTCTCATTACCCGAAACACACGGACAAATAAGAGAATATGGAGATGAAATGATGTTCTAGATACACAGATGAACATCTGAAGAAAAAAAAGAAAAAAAGAAAAACAGAAGGACCACTCTAAGGTTAAGCTGAGCTTCTTGTCTCACCATTGTTATGAATACCGAGCAGACTGTAAAAATCACGTGGGCCTGCGTTGGACGGCATAATTAAGTGGCGACTCACCGCTTCCAGGCAAACACACACACATCCGGACGCTAGGGCTAATCTGTGAGACGGCAGATATCTAACGGATGTGTAATAATGTTGTGGAAGGTACCAACAGCGATACGGACAGTGAATGACAGGTAATATAGCAAGTGATATTGCAAACGGAACCCAAACAATAACTGGCACATACTCCAGATACAGACAGCAATTGCAGACCTGTACGAATACACAAATATCCACAAAAACACACCATGGATCCATCGTCAGACAGACAGGCTGTGCGCCGGCTTAGGCAGAATTCCTGCTAATGGACATTCAGCCCGTGCCGTCCTCGGCAGTAATGACCAATAATTAACAGCACAAGAGCTACAGGGAGGAGTGAGGAGGAGAGACGTGCCGACGCAAACTCACAGGCTCAAATACACAGGACAAACACACAACAGTAGGTCACCTGCCTTATTGGCAGCCAGTGCGGCCCAATTTCTGCAAACAGCAAGTCAGGGCCCTCGACAACTTTAGGACTGCGCAGATTTATGGGACGCCAACGCCAATAAACGCCGACTTAGGGAAAAGGTTTTATTAACGGCCATTGGCATAAACATCGCAATGGAAGGGCAAAACTCTTGCACGGATGACTGCAAAACCCCCGTTCACTCTTCAACATACCCCACTCTGGCCTTAGGGAGCGACAGCCATACCAGTGACCTATATTTTTCATTCAGTGGGATTAAACAGCCGGTGGATGTTACAAGTCAGTGACAGAGCGGATATCCAGAGCCTCTGAGAGGTCAGCTGGACAACGCGCTACAGGAACTTGACTAAAAGCCTCATCAGCACCGACTTCACCGCCACTGCTGTTTAGAGATCAGAGGGAGCAAAGAAATGTCTGAATATTTACACTGCTCATGAATTATGATCACCCTTTCAAGTAATTCCCTTTTTCCGTCGTGCCGGATTGCTTGTTAGTTCACTGGAAAACTAAAAATAACATTGTAATTCTCTGTGGTCCCAGAAACCGCTTCCTGGCCTCTTGTCCATCTGCCCAACGCAGACGAGTCTGGACAGACGGTGAGAGAAAAATAGACACAAGGTTCCTGATTTATATGACTATGGTTTGTTAATAACATCCCATGCTAGTTTTCTCTCTTGCTCATACCATTGCCAAACTGTAGAAACACGTTTGGTTACATTGTGCATATTATGTAATAAGAAAAACAGTTTCGGAGTCTGTGATATTCCAACAGAAATGACTGTAACTCACTACTGTTTGTATTAGACTCTACAAGTGTGTGTTTGTAATAGCCTTTCTTTGAAAGCCAAGAGGAGGATGGATCAAATGCTGAGGCGCTGCAGCTTGACTTGGGGAGACAGAGAGAGAGAGAGAGAGAGAGAGTGGAAGAGAGGCAGAAAGAAGGACCAATTTTAAAGAAAGGTTCAGGTTCAGGATCAGTTCTGGCAGAGTAATCAAATCAGAAAGTCAGCAGATTCATCTTCAGCCTTCATTTTCATCTCTCTATTCCCGCCCCTTTAGTGTCCTCGCCCGTCTCTCCATTCCTGAGCTGTCGTCCCGCTTTCCTCTCTCCATCGAAACCTCCCGCCTCTGTCCTTCTGTCCTTTTCCCGGACAATTGCCTTCTTTTGCCTCTGTCTCTTTTTGGGTTACGGTCAGACCCGAAGTGTCCTAAGGGAGGTAAGTGAGAGTGGACGGAGCCTCTAAAGGAAAATTCTTCAAACCACAAGAGACGTCTTTTAGATGATGCAAGAGAATGTCATCAACAAACAATGAAGACAAAGAGGAAGAGTGGTAATGGGCAATATTTAAAAGCCCCCCAAAGTATTTCCCCTCCTGGGTATAGAATGGAAAGCAGACCACAGCAGATCTACGAGAGGTAAATAGCAAACTAAAAGGGGAAGGGGCTTCTGACGGCAAACAATGGAGGCCGTGGGCGATGATGGCGTTGGACGTTACTTCAGGAAAGCCCTGCAGGTGAGTAAAGTGGGGGGGGGTTGAAGGCTGAAAGTGTGTGGGAGGTGGGGTGGGGGGGGGGCAGCACTGTCAATTACACAGACACGGTTGAAGGGTAAGAGGGGACGTTTCCAATTACAGAAACAGTTGATGTCTTTTGTCAGATGATTTGGGGCATTTCTGAGGCATTCTGGGAAGACGCGAGCGATGGGGGGTGAAAGATGAGCGGCAGGGCAGTGAGGAAATGGGAGTTTCTGTTTGGGACATTATAGGGACTGGACTCTGCATTGGGGTGCGCAGGCTGTACAGGGAGAGTAAATACGGGCACGGCATCTCTGTGCGGCCTTGTGCTTGTGTGCGCGCGCGTGTGTGCTCGGTTAGCAGCAATCGATTCCCTTGGGACGAAAGGCCTCCCTTCTCGCTCGCTGGGCGGAAATCAGAGTCCTCAAAAGGGGAAGGAAGAAAGAGCAAGAGATGGCAGAAGGAAGAGAGACTCACCTGTACAAGGAGCTCCAGCTTCCTGTCGTCCAGGAGATGGACCTGACATCGCCTCCCCTCTGTCATCTGGGAAGAAAGGAGGACAAATGGACGCTTGTTTAGATCTAGTTCGCAGCAATAGGAGCGGGGGTTGAAATGGGTCTCCACGTTGCCAATAATACAAACGTTACTTAGATTTCTATTTAACATGACATGTGCTTTATGGGAAGTACATGCGTGTGTTTCTCAGTGAAGATTTTACAAGGTTAGAGGATCTAACTACGAGGCCAATAGAGAAAACGTCACGACCTCATTTGACATTTCTAACGTTCTTCCTTGACCGGATATCCAGCAGGAAATTCGTTTTGGACTAATGGGTCACAACTTGTGAAACGTCCAATGTTCCCCCGTGTGTCGGCCTGCTTTGTTGATACAAGGCCGGCCGAACAGAGCTGCAAAGAAATGAGAATATCCATGTGCCAAATCCAGGAGTAAACACCGGGCAGGTGCGATGATTCCCACTGGTGGGAAATATGCATCATTTTTCACACCAGCTGAGAAGCCAAACCAAACCTTTATGAAAGTTTGCTTCCAGGTGATGCAACTCAAATGAGCACAGGACTAAGGTTTAAAAATTCACAGACGTGGAATCTCTCGACTGTTTTTTTTGCAGGAAGCGTGGACCTTGAGGAACACAAACACTCCCTGGCTCCTCCCACACTTCCCTCACATCTGGGAGACGGGGAGGGACACCAGGGGGGGGAGATGTGCGTGGGTGTGTGGAGCGGTAGGAGATGTTGCAAGAAAAAGAAAAAGGGGGAAGAAACATTCTTATTGTTAAACTTTTGGATTTGAGAACTTTGGCCACCTCATGCACTTTAGTGAGTGCGTGTCCACGGCGACGCACACGCACTTTCTCGCTGCTCGTGCCAGCTGTCGTCCAGGTAGCACTTGGAGGTGAGAGTTTCGCAGAGCTGAAGATACCGGAGAACGAGAGGGAGAAGAGTGACAGAAATGTGTCCCAACACTCATCTGTGTGTGAACTCTGATCGCTAGAGTGTGTGTGTGTGTGTGTGTGTGTGTGTGTGTGTGTGTGTGTGTGTGTGTGTGTGTGTGTGTGTGTGCGGCTTCTAGCTACTTGGAAAGACTCTCCCACTCCCCATTGATCTCTTGTGGTTTGAGGGACCGGGTGCACCTGTGCACAATGGCTGATGCACACACACGCACACACGCACACACACACACACACACACACACACGACAGAGCGGCAAGCGAACCAGCCGCTCGTCGGTGACGTCGTTGAACGTTATCACTAGATAGTGAGTAAGTTACCTTGCAAACAAACGCTCTCCGCGAGGCTCCCACACGCGCCCGGAAAACAAGAAAATAATAACAATAATAACAAAAATAGTAAGGTTAATCCCAGAAAGAAACGAGTCTCGTCACTGCCAGAAGATCGTCAAAAAACGAGCTTTCCCCCGGCCGGCCGAGGCGAGGAGGCACATCGGTATCCATGTCGGTGACCATTAGTAGCTCCTATCCTCACACGCGCACGCGCGATTAACGGCGACGGCGGAGCGTTTTCTTCTCCCTCTTTTTTTCCTCCTTCTTCTTCTCCTTCTCCCCCCCCCCGAGGCCGGCTGCTCTCCCTCCCTCCCGAAAGCTGGGAGCTTCTCACGGGGCTAGTCCACGGTCGACCGACACCTCCCACGGGTCCCTCCTCCTCCTCCTCTTCCTCCTCCTCCTCCTCCTCCTCCTCCTCCTCTTCCTCCGCCAACGGCTCCGCGCGGGGAAAACGTGCGCGAAAAAAGGGGCTGGCGGGCGAGCGGGAGGACGCGGCGTGAAGGGGTTCCGGTCCGCCCTCCGCTCGCCGGTTACGGGTCTTGCTGTTACCGGAGGTGTCTCCGAAAAGCACGGGGAATAATGGAAGCAAGATGTGGGGGCGGGATGAGAAGGGGGGGGGGGGGGGGTTCTGCAGCAGCTCAGAACCATGAGGAACTGCAGACTGGTCTGCGTTTAAAGATGAGCGATGCACCGCTGATACATAACAATGAGCAGTGGTGTCAGTCCCCATTAAACCAGCTGTACCCTCAGAAATGCGGGCTTTGGGAGGGAGAAAGAGCCCCCCACCTCTCCAAAAAAGACCCTTTACCTCACTTGTGTCACTGTGAGGTAAAGGGCCATTTATTTTTTATTTTTGATAGGTTTCCGTAGGACCTGGACATGTTAAATGGTGACATCCCAAGTGGTGGTCCGCCTCTCGCTGTCTCTCCGGCTCGTCACTTCCGGTCTGCACTTTTAAAAACACAGATCTTCTTGTTCCCCGGTTTGAATTGCTTGAATGATTTCTGGCAGTCAGTCCTACTGCAGCCGTTGGACCGACTTGTTTTTTTTCTTTTCGTGTGTGACCTAAATTGGGCACCTGTGTTCAAATTGAGCAGCAGCCGTTAAAACAGAGTTTTTAAGGTCAGTCCAGTTTTAGGTACCATAAATAGATACTGGGGAGGGCTGCTCGTTTGCCCAGTGTCAATACAGCCTTTGAGTAAGGCTGGTCTTCCTTCTATCGCTGTGTTATAACATTCAACAGTGATCCCTATGAAAACAGTGCGAGGTTCATGTACGGCACCTTCCGCTTAACTGTCAACATCAGGGACGCTTGGCCATTTGTTTTCTGTTTTTCGGAACTTCAACTTAAACCCTTCAGGGTAATACAATTCACTCTGTCCTGGCTTCCATAACCAACCTGCAGTTGCACTCATATACAAATATGACAGGCAGTTAATGATCTTCAATCTGCATGATTCTTTGGAAACCTCTTCCCAGACATTACGCTATACAGAGATGCTATGAAATCAAATGGTTTTGGCTCCAATTGCTTTGTCGCACCATAGTTTTTGCAGCAGGTCGAAAATTCAGCTTAGGTCTGCCGAAAGGAGAAAGTGTGTAGAAAGTCACACGAGAAACAAAGGGGGGTGCATTCTGGTTATTTCTGGCCTGCTCCAGACACGGGAAACTGGCCCATCCAACTTAAACATCTCCAGATGATTCTTTCCTTGGCTTTAATACGTGCACCCGTCCCTCTTTGGCATTCCCTGGTCACATACATATCTCCCTTGATTAGTTACATCCTCGTCTGGCTATCACAAGGGTCCCGTTGTTTGACCAATGCAAGGGAGAGGGGGGGGGCAGAGAAGGGGTAGAGGAAGATTGAAAAGGAGGGTCAACATTTTTTTTGCAGTAGCCTTAACAGTTGAACTACATGCTGAGGATTGTTACTGCTTGTGATGGATGTTGGGAGCTCCAGAGAAGCCGAACGAGGGGGGGGAAGACGGATTCACTGAGCAGAGGGGAGGAAGCGAGGCAGGAAGTAACAATAAAAAAAAAAGAGCTGTGATTTAGTGAGCCTCTCCGTCCCGTGCTCTCGTCCCTCAACTTCCCCACACGTGCTCACCTCCCAGTGACCCGCACGCCGCGTTTCCACGGAGCACGAGGTGAGGGACACTGGAAGGTGCGCCACATCTGGGCCCTGACGGACCCTCGTTACGGAGCCAGTGGGCTTCGATTGTACCGCCGAGGTGTGGTCCTAATGAGGTGCTGACCCGGTGAAGGGTGAAGGATCTGGATGGGTACGGTGGGTTTAACAGGCAGGTATTAGAGTCGTGTTTTTAGGGTCGGGCAGGAGAACAGGGTCGATGGTCTGCGTTGGAAAAGGGTAACCCGTATTGGTGGAATGTGATATAAACAGTGCCGAGCGGTTAATTGAAGCAAGATGGAGAATCTCTTTAACCCTGACCGTGGGACGCTGCGGTAGGCAGTGAAGACTGACACACACACACACACACACACTCTCCATGCTCTCACTCTCTTGCTCCGTCTGTCTTTGTCTGGATCTCTTTCATATTTACTGAGACTAAACAAACGCACGCCGTTAAACACGTCAATTTGAGAGCGAGCGCGGTCTGACACAAGCCGTCCCACGGTGATTCACGGCGCTGAGATCATCCCAGCCGAACGGGCTTCATGGCTCGCCGTCAACTTTGACGTAACGGCGTCTGGCGCGTGAGGCGCAGGTTAGATTACGGCACAAGATTCGGGGCAAAAAAAACGCGCCGTGTTCCACAAGTTTTCTGTTGAATGGGTTATCAAAAATCTGATGGAAAAATAATAGCGGGGCCAAATCCATCTTGTCCATTCGGCGCCTCGGAGCAGAGCGAGACGGCGCAGGGAGGGTCACGGAAAGGACGCCAGGAATGTCTCGAGAAACGACTGACCGAGAGAGGGATCTGTTTTGTTTGTTCAAGTGTGTATATGTGTGTGTCTGTGGGCTCCACCCTCGCAGCCCGGTGGTGACTTCTGGGACTGAAATGTGGTTCCAGTTAGGGGCGTTTTTTTCTTCTTCGTTAAATCAGAAACACACTAGCACTTCAAACAAACTGGAGATATTTCTACCACCAACTCTGATTTGTTGCCGTTTTACTGCGAATTTCCAGACTTCACCAACAATATCTCTCATCTTGAGATGTTCCCCCCCCTTCTTTTTTTTTTCTACAAAAAGGAGCACAACAGTCTCTAAAACGTGTTCCGATGGAGATGCTGTGAGTTTCAGACACTCGTAGGCAGGAAGGAGGCTCTCCAAATGATATGCAAAATATTACCCAAATCGCGGGCCAATGTTTTTTCACTTTGCAACAGATAAAGAATGGCCATGTTGTGTGTTAGAGAAAAATAAACGAAACGGGTTGACGATAATAAGGCCGGTAGCTTCCATGTCCTATCGGTACAGTCCATTTCAATGTTTTGTAGTCATAACACGTACAACGCCAGCGTGTGCCTGGAAAAATTCCTGATGGTCTGAAATGCTCGTTTTCACATATTCCCACTTATCACATTGTCGTAAATGTAGTGTAATCTTGTGCTGCAAAACCTGTAACCTGTAATCCATTTAATAGACTGCTATTGGACCCGTCCACCCCGCTGAGCCACTGGTTTAATGCTCACATCTGTCCTCTGAGCTCATTTGTTTCCCTTCTCTTCCTCTCAAATCATATCGCATGACTTTGTTTCTGTTTAACTGACAAACAAAAAT